CTGGAGGGGAGGGATAGGATACAGAGGGACCTAGACAAATTGGAGGATTGGGCCAAAAGAAATCTGATGAGGTTCAATAAGGATAAGTGCAGGGTCCTGCACTTAGGACGGAAGAACCCAATGCACAGCTACAGACTAGGGACCGAATGGCTAGGCAGCAGTTCTGCGGAAAAGGACCTAGGGGTGACAGTGGACGAGAAGCTGGATATGAGTCAGCAGTGTGCCCTTGTTGCCAAGAAGGCCAATGGCATTTTGGGATGTATAAGTAGGGGCATAGCGAGCAGATCGAGGGACGTGATCGTTCCCCTCTATTCGACATTGGTGAGGCCTCATCTGGAGTACTGTGTCCAGTTTTGGGCCCCACACTTCAAGAAGGATGTGGATAAATTGGAGAGAGTCCAGCGAAGGGCAACAAAAATGATGAGGGGTCTGGAACACATGAGTTATGAGGAGAGGCTGAGGGAGCTGGGATTGTTTAGCCTGCAGAAGAGAAGAATGAGGGGGGATTTGATAGCTGCTTTCAACTACCTGAAAGGGGGTTCCAAAGAGGATGGCTCTAGACTGTTCTCAATGGTAGCAGATGACAGAACGAGGAGTAATGGTCTCAAGTTGCAGTGGGGGAGGTTTAGATTGGATATTAGGAAAAACTTTTTCACTAAGAGGGTGGTGAAACACTGGAATGCGTTACCTAGGGAGGTGGTAGAATCTCCTTCCTTAGAGGTTTTTAAGGTCAGGCTTGACAAAGCCCTGGCTGGGATGATTTAACTGGGATTTGGTCCTGCTTTGAGCAGGGGGTTGGACAAGATGACCTTCCGGGGTCCCTTCCAACCCTGATATTCTATGATTCTATGATTCTAGCTGCAGTTCCCCTCCCCACCCCACAGACCCCCTGCAGGGCTGCCCCCTTGGCTAGAAGCTCCCCCCAAGCAGCTCTGAGCTGACTGCACGTGACTGCAGGTCACTGTGTGTTGTGGGCAGGATGCTCAAGCTGCTGCCCTGGAGACCTCACTCCTGTTTGAAGGGGAATGGGGCCTGGGGCCTTTCCCCTCTAGGGGGGGCCAGCTCCCATCCAGTCCCAGGGCGGGGACTGGCTGGCTCAGGGGGGGCAGGGAATGGGGCCCGGGGCCTTTCCCCTCTAGGGGGCGCCAGCTCCCATCCGGCCCAGGGCAGGGACTGGCTGGCTCCAGGGAGCGGGGACTGGGGCACGGGGCCTTTCCCCTCTAGGGGGCACCGGCTCCCATCCGGCCCTAGAGCAGAGACTGGCTGGCTCAGGGGGGCAGGGAATGGGGTGTGGGGCCTTTCCCCTCTAGGGGGCGCCAGCTCCCATCCAGCCCCAGGGTGATTAGACAGATAGATAGAGGGGGTGGCTGGGGATAGATAGGTAGAGGGGGTGTGGGGGGGTTGGATAGATTCCTCCCCTCCCCCTTTTACATGCAAATCAGCAGATGACTCTTCTATGTCCTTGACAGCCTCTATTCCTCCGTCCTTCCACTTCTGCATTCTCTCCTTCCCCCCCCCGACACACACACACTCCGCAGCACCTTGCGCCTTTGGCAGAAACCTCCTGAGCTCAGCGAAATGGAAATAAGCTGCCAACCCCTGCGCCAAGGGGGGGAAATAGCCAGCCATGGGATGGCGGGGGGTGTGTGTGTTTGCATCCGCATTTGTGTGTAGATCTCTGTGCGTAGGTTTGTGTGTGTGCATGTTGGTGTGGGGGTGAGGGTGTTTATGGCTGTGGGGGGGTATGTGTGACGTTTGTGTAGACTAGTGTGTGGTGGACTGTGGGTGTGGGGCGTTTATGGCTCCATCGTGGACTTTAGGCGTGTGTGTGTTTGTCGAAACCTATGTGTGCGGTGTGTTTATGGCTGTGTGGTGTGGCTGTTGTGTGTTTGTGTAGATCTCTGTGTGTGGGGTGTTTATTGCTGTGTTTTGTGGCTGTTGTAGATATCTCTGTTTGGTATGTTTATGGCTCTGTTGTGTGTTTGCACAGACCTTTGCATGCTAGTTTGTGTATGCAGTGTGGGGTGTGTTTAGGACTGTGTTGTGTATGGGTGTGTCCCTATTTGAGGGGGTGGGTGGGTGTATTTGTATGAACCATACATTTGTATGTATTTGTTTGGGTGTATTTGTATGGTTTTATTTGTGGTATGTTTATGGCTGTGTTGTGGGTATGTGTGATGTTGGGGTAGATCTGTGTGTGATGGATTGTGTTTGTGGTGTGGGTGTGTTTATGGCTGTGTTGTGTGTTTGTGTAGCTGTGTGTGTGTAGATCTGTTGGGGGAGGGTATATATGGCTGTGTTGTGTGTTTGTGTAGGTTTGTGGGGGGACGGTTGTTTACGACAGTGGTGTGTCTGTGTAGACCTGTTGGGGGGAGAGTATATGTGGCTGTGTTGTGTCATGGGTTTACGTAGATAGGGGGGAGGAGGGGGTGTATATAGCTGTGTTTGTGTAGATGTGTGAGGGGAGGGTGTATATGCCTGTGGTGTGCGTTTGTGTAGATGTGGGGGGGAAGGTGTATATGGCTGTGCTGTGTAGATGTTTGTGTGGTGTGTAGATCTGTGGGTGGGAGGGTGTATATGTCTGTGGTGTGTGTTGTGTAGATGTTTGTGTAGGTTTGTAGGGGGCTTATGGCTGGTGTGTGTGTGTCTTTGTGCGGTCGTACAACCTGACACAGTCTCGGTGTGTGCACCTGGGAAGTGGGGTGTGAAGATCCCTGTGCAGGCAGGTGTGGGTGTATTCAATGGGACCTACACACACACACACACCCCACCCCATGCCCTGGGCTGGTGCAGGGCTGCAGTGGGCACACGGGGTGAGGGGGCTGCCCAGTGCAGGGAGGTTGCAGGGGGTGCCCAGAGGGGGTGAGGGGTTGCCGGGGGGGCACACAGGGCTGGCGGGGGGGGCAGGGCGCTGCAGGAATTGCGGTGGGGGTGACATCAGTCTGCACAGAGCCAGCGACTCTTGTTCTCATTCTCATGCCAGGCCGTGCCCGCCACGTTGCAGAGCCCAGTTGGGAACGCCATGGCCGGGGGGGGGGGGGCCTCCCCCAGCCCTGCAGCACACATACCCTCTCAGAGAACCCAGGAGTCCTGGCTCCCATCCCCCGCTTCTCAAACCACTAGGCCCCACTCCCTTCCCAGAGCCAGGGAGAGAACCCAGGAGTCTTGGCTTCCAGCCCCCGCCCCCCTAACCCTCTGCCCCCCACCCCGGGAGTCAGGACTCCTGGGTTCCGTGCCCAGCTGGGGACGGGGCGGGGGGCCGGGCTGCGCGTTGCTGTCCGCACAGGAGTATCTGGGGCTGCCACCGAGACCCCTGTTTACAGCACAGGGTGTAACTGGAGAACGGGGCTGGCCCAGAATAACCCGGCCCGCGGCCCCGGGCCCCAGGGACGCACTGTCCTCACCGCGCCACACAGACCCGCCGCGCCCGCCGGTGCCGGCCTGGCCTACCTGCGGCCTCCTCACCCAACTCCCCCCTGAACCCCCAAACCTGCCCCAACTTCCCCCTCCCCCCAAACCTCCCCCCACTCACCCCTGTGGCCCCCAGACCTTCCCTCTCCCCCCAAACCTCCCCCCACTCACCCCTGGGGCCCCCAAACCTTCCACCTCCACCCACTCACCCCTGGGGACCCCAACCTTCCCCCTGCCCCCAAACCTCACACCTGGGGCATCCAAGCTTCCCCTTCCCCCCAAACCTCCCCCCACTCATCCCTGGGGCCCCCAAACCTCCCCCCCCACTCACCCCTGCAGCCCCCAGACCTTCCCTCTCCCCCTAAACCTCCCCCCACTCATCCCTGGGGCCCCCAAACCTTCCCTCTCCCCCCGAACCTCCCCTCACTCACCCCTGCAGCCCGCAGACCTTTCCTCTCCCCCTGAACCTCCCCCCACTCACCCCTGGAGCCCCCCAAACCTTCCACCTCCACCCACTCACCCCTGGGGCCCCCAAACCTTCCACCTCCACCCACTCACCCCTGGGGACCCCAACCTTCCCCCTGCCCCCAAACCTCACACCTGGGGCCCCCAAACCTTCCCTCTCCCCCCGAACCTCCCCCCACTCACCCCTGCAGCCCCCAGACCTTCCCTCTCCCCCCAAACCTCCCCCCCACTCATCCCTGGGGCCCCCAAACCTTCCCTCTCCCCCGAACCTCCCCCCCACTCACCCCTGCAGCCCCCAGACCTTCCCTCTCCCCCCAAACCTCCACCCACTCACCCCTGGGGCCCCCAAACCTTCCCCTCAACTTCCCCCTCCCCCAAACCTCCCCCTATCTCACTCCTGAGCCTCCCAAACTCACCCGAGCCCCTGAACCTTTCTGCCCCCCTGCCTCCCTCCCTCCCAAATTTAGCTCAGTTTCCTCTTCCTGAAACTTTCAACTTCAGCTTGAAACAATGTCCTGTCCAGATGGGAGCCGGCGCCCCGAGAGGGGAGAGGCCTCGCGTCCCATTCTTCGCTCCATCACCCCCCACACCCCAGCCAACCAGTCCCTGCCCTGGGGCTGGATGGGAGTCGGTGCCCCCTAGAGGGGAGACGCCTGGTGCCCCATTCCCCACCCCCCTGAGCCAGCCAGTCCCTGCCCTGCGCCTCTCACGCCTTCCCTTCCCCAGTGAATCGCTATCCGTTCACGCTCACTTTTGCCCCGACCATGCCCGTGGGCCGCCTGCAGCATCAGGCAGCAGCCCGGGTCGAACGCCAAGGCTGGGTGAGCGGCTCACGCTGCCCGACTGACTCTGGGGGGCTGGGGAGACAGCTGCTGCCAGTGGCCACGTCGGGGGGCTGCTCCTAAACACGCCCACCCAGCTCACCGTGGGGACATCGAGGGGGCCCCATGCAGAGCCCACGGGGCCCGGTGGAGATCTGAAACCGGGGCTCCTTTGTCAATTTCACCGCCCCCCGCCCTTCCCACCTGGTGAAACTGAGGGAGGTTTTCTGGATTTTCAGTCCAGAAAACAGAGTCAATGGTTCTTGGGCAACATTCGCACCAAGAGCCGTGAAATTCTTAATTCTTAACACGGTCTGAATTCTGAGTTCGGTTTACACTGGGTAAATCTGGACTCTGCATTGACACCCCAGGAAGCTAAAATCAGAACTCGGCCCTGTCCCCATTGCAGTCGGGGTAACTCTAGATTGACCCCAGGAGCTGAGATCAGAACCCGGCCCTGTCTCCATTACAATTGGGAGTGACTCCGGACTGACGCCAGGAGCTGAGATCAGAACTGGGCCCTGCCCCCATTGCAGTGAGGGGGTAACTCCAGATTGACCCAAGGGCTGAGATCAGAACCCTGCCCTGTCTCCATTACAATTGGGAGTGACTCCAGACTGACACCAGGAGCTGAGATCAGAACCCAGCCCCGCCCCCATTGCAATTGGGAGTGACTCTGAATGGAGGAGGCCAGGAGCTCAGATCAGAACCTGGCCATGCCCCCATTGCAATTGGGGGTGACTCCAGATTGACCCCAGGGGGCTGAGATCAGAACTCAGCCCCTCTCCCATTGCAACTGGGATTGACTCCGGATTGACCGGGGGGGGGACTGAGACCAGAAAGACACCCCCTCCAGCTACAAATAGCCATTTATAAAATCCAGGATTAAATACAGACCCGCTGAGGTTATTAATTTGATCCCTCCGCCCCCACCCCCTCCTTCGCCTGCCGCCCTCTTTCCTACCGTCCTGCGTTCTGGCCCCTTCCAGTGCAAGGGGGAAGTCCCCAGAGGTTCATCGGTAGGTGGGGGGGGGCTGATCCAAGGCAGGGCGCCCCCCAGGTGGGGCAGGAAGCACTCGTTTGTCTGTGACCCCCACACACACCCCGAGACTCCGGCCCACGCCCACGCCCCCGCCCGCCGCCCCCCCCAGCCCCCGGCCGTCAGGCGCTGCGGGTGGCGGTGGTCTGGACGCAGCAGTGGCCGGGCTCCCTGGCCAGGCCGGGCAGGGAGAGGAGAAGGAAGCAGCCGCCGCCGAAGATCAGCACGGCGCCGGCGGCCACGGCGCAGGCCACGGACCACGAGTACTCGTACTCCAGGGGCACGCTCCGGTCGCTGCTGATGAGCCGCCGCACCGAGTGGCGGAAAACCTCCAGGCTGACCAGCACCAGGATCCCTGCCGGGAGAGAGGGAGAGGGAGAGTGGGAGCGGGGCGGGGGGCGCTGGGCTGCGGGGAGCAGGGCGGGGGCTCAGTGGGGGCGCTGGGCGGCGGGGAGCGGGGCGGGGGTCTCCGTGGGGGGCACTGCGCGGCGGGGAGCGGGCCGGGGGGCTCCGAGGGGGGCGCTGGGCTGCAGGAAGGGGTGTGAGGGCTCGGGGGGGGGGGGGGCGCTGGGCTGCCGGGCTGGGGTTCGGAGGGGGGCGCTGGGCGGCGGGGAGCGGAGCGGGGGCTCCCCGGAGGGCGCTGGGCGGCGGGGAGCGGGGCGGGGGCGGCAAGGAGCGGGGTGGGGGCTCAGCGGGGGGGGGCGCTGGGCGGCGAGGAGCGGGGCGGGGGGCTCAGCGGGGGGCGCTGGGCTGCGGGAAGGGGTTTGGGGGCTTAGCGGGGGGCGCTGGGCTGCCGGAAGGGGGGTTGGGGGCTCCGCAGGGGCGCTGGGCGGCGGGGAGCGGGGCGGGGGCTCCGCGGGGGGCGCTGGGGGCCCCACAGGGGGCGGGGGAGGCGGGACCTACCGGAGATCATGAAGAAGCAGGAGGCGGGTTTGAGCAGGAATTCCACCCCTTTGCTCAGCGCCATGGTGATGCACAGCGAGCCCATCACCATCAGGGTGATGCTCAGAAGAGAGATCACGGCCGCCGTGATGTTCAGTTCTGGGGAGCGGGGAGACAGAGAGTTACCCCAATCTGGGAGGAAAAGCCCCGCTGCCAGCCTCCACTACAGCCCAAGAGACATTGGCTTCATGGGCCCGTGGGTGTGATCTGGGGTAGGGAGGAGGCCAGACACCAGGGTAGATGGGCCCGTGGGTGTGATCTAGGGTAGGGAGGAGGACGGACACCAGGGTAGATGGGCCCGTGGGTGTGATCTAGGGTAGGGAGGAGGACGGACACCAGGGTAGATGGGCCCGTGGGTGTGATCCAGGGGGGTCCTGACCTTTTTTTGTCGTTCTCTGGAAGATGTGGGCGTTCTCCCCCGTGCTGAAGAACTTGAAGTAGGAGCAGTTGGCTTCTGGGAAGGGGGAAAGGAACTACTTGAGTGATGGGGGAGAAAGAGGAGATGTGTAAACGGGGTCGGGGGCAGGGCCGAGAAGGGGATGGGGAATCAAGATGAGTGAACGCTCTGGGCGGTTGGGATGAGTGTGGGGAGAATTAGTAACCCTCTGCTATCCCAGCCCTGGGCTCCCTGCACCCTCAGATCTCCAGTGCCCCTCAATCCTGACCCTCAGCCCCCTGCTATCCCAGCCCTGCGCTCCCTGCACCCCCAGATCTCCAGTGCCCCTGAATCCTGACCCTCAGTCCCCTGCTATCCCAGCTCTGGGCTCCCCCTACACACACCCAATTCCCACAAACCTTCCTGCATGAGCCTTCCACGCTAAACTCACCCACCCCACCAAACCTGCCCCCCACACTCACCCCAGCCCCCGAATCTTCACTCACCCCAGCCCCCAAATTCACCCCCACTAGAAATCTAACTAAGGAATTTCACCCTCTGCACCTGAGTGTCCCGATGCATTCCCCAAAGGGCTGGGAAATTGGGGAAAGGAGGGAGATTTATTAACACTCCCCAGGTTTCGTCACAGATGGGAATTAGCTTGAGATAGATAGATTAGATTAGATTAGATAGATGCAAGGGGGTGGGGTGGAGGGGTACAAGGGTAAGGATGTGTGGGTGGATGGTAGGGGGTGAATGGATGACATGACAAAGTGGGATTTTTTTGTAATATTTTATGACCCCTATCTGGAGGGTGTGTGGGGATGGATGGATGAAGGGTGTGTGTATGGGATGGACGGATGGGTGGATGGATGAATGCAGGGGTGTGTATGGGATGGATGGACGGATGGATGGATGAATGCAGGAGTGTGTATGGGATGGATGGGTGGATGCAAGTGTGTGTATGGGATGGATGGATGGATGGATGGATGGATGGATGGATGGATGGATGGATGCAGGCGTGTGTATGGGATGGATGGATGGATGGATCAAGGGGGGCGTATGGGATGGATGGATGGATGCAGGGGTGTGTATGGGATGGATGGATGGGTGGGTGGAGGGATGTGTATGGGATGGATGGATGGATACAGGGGTGTGTATGGGATGGATGGATGAAGGGGGGAGTATGGGATGGATGGGTAGGTGGATGGATGGATCAAGGGGGGTGTATGGGATGGGTGGGTGGGTGGAGGGGTGTGTGGGGTTGTAGGAGCAGATTTTTGATAGCCCAGTAACAGGTTTAAACCACTTCCAGTGGCTGGAATTCCAGTTGTTCTGCTTATTACTGAAAGCCGCTAAAAGGAGGTGTTTCTGAAACCTTAGCACAGGTAATGGACCAGGACGGGAGGGTGAAGTGAGTGACCTCATGGAGTAAACATGACCCTCTGCCCTCCTGGCTTGAGTTGTTGCTCCGAAGCATGTGGTTTTGCAAGCTGGAAGTCTGGCAATAGTTAACTATGACTCTACAGCTGGTTAACCGATGGAAAGTTGCCCACCAGACAGGCTGGAAATCTCCACCCTTAACTTAGCTTCTGCTCGGCAGGTTTGTTAATGAGCAAGCTACCTAATACTAACAAGTTGGATATAAAAAGGGGAGGAAATCTGAGCTCTGTGGACATTTGAACACCTGAACACCTCTCAAGTTCCCCTGGAGACCACCAGCTGGCCACTGGACATCTACAGTTATCCAGTCGAGACCGTCTCAAGACCCTGGGTAAATATGAATCTGGGATTTTGGCGGGTGTTTTACTAAGCTGTTGCGGACGTGTGTAAGAGGTTAAGACTAAGTAATGTGTAGCTTTAAGTGAAAGCACTCTTGTGTTGTCCTGTTTGTGCCAGCCATGGATCGTCGGATGGCCGTGTCTCCCCTGCTTTATTTCTGACACCACCTCGCACAGAGTAAAGGTACCAAGAACTTTGTGTTGAAAGAACCCCAGGTAACAGGGTGGATGGATGGATGGGTGAGTGGGTGGGTGGGTGGGTGGGTGGGTGAGTGTGTGTGGGGATAGATGGAGGGATGGATGGATGGATGGGTTTGATGGGTGGGTGGGGGTGGATGGATGGACAGAGGGGTATGCATGGGGCTATATGGAGTCTATATGGGATGTACAGGGTTGTTCAGGGATGGATGGATGGAGGGATGTGTGGGGATGGACAGGTGGGGGTGGATGGATGGATGAAGGGATGTGGGGTAGATGGATGGAGGGATGTGGGGTGGATAGAGGGAAGGGGGGATGGATGAGTGGGGTGGGGTGGATGGAGGGAGGAAGGGATGGGGTAAGTGGATGCGGGATGGATGGATGGATGGAGGAAGGGAGGGAGGGTTGGGGTGGGGTGGATCGAGGGAGGGAGGGGTGCGGAGGGCTGGGGTGGGTGGATGTGGGGGTGGGGTGGATGGATGGAGGAAGGGAGGGTTGGGGGTGGGATGGATGGATGGGAGGGGGAGGGAGGGAGGGATGGATGGGGTATGGGGTGGGTGGAGGGAGGGGTGTGGAGGGACGGAGGCATAAGATTTTCAGAACACAGTCCCCCCCTCCAGCAGCAGCTCTGCCCCACCCGCACCCACCCCTGCTTTGTCCCCTGCCAGCTCCCGGTGCCATAACTGCTTTGTACCCCTAGCCCTGCCCCTCTCTCCACCCTAAGCCCTGCTACGGGAGAGCTGAAGGAAATGGACCAGAGCAGCTATCGCACTTTAAACATGCACCTGACCTGATCCGGAAACACATCCAAATGGCGACAACCCCGAGATACCTCCAGTGGTTGTGGAATGGGGCATGGGGCCTTTCCCCTCTAGGGGGCGCCAGCTCCCATCCGGCCCCAGGGCAGGGACTGGCTGGCTCCGGGGGTGGGGAATGGGGCACGGGACCTGTCCCCCTTAGGCAGTTGGCCATCATTTCACTGGATTCAATGAGCACGGACGCCCAGCTGGGTGAATGTTTCCTGGTTGGGATGGTAGCAGACCATGGCACAGAACTGCTCCCCGGTGCTCTAGGTCTCCAGTTTCACTCTTCCCAGCCAAGAGGCGCTTTAACTGGCCCCAGTCCCTTCTCCGGACGGCGCTCCACCCCTGCCCTCCCCCAGACTGGAATTCAGCTGATGCTGTCGGTCGCTGCTGCTGCAGCGTCAGAAATAAGCGCAGAGACAGAACCCAAAACACTCCTGGAGACGCCCGAATTCGTTCAACCCAGAGCCGGGGAGAGAACCCAGGCATCCTGGCTCCCAGCCCCCCTGCTCTAACCACTAGGCCCCACTCCCCTCCCAGAGCTGGGGAGAGAACCCAGGAGTCCTGGCTCCCAGCCCCCCTGCACAGACCCAAGTGGGATCAGAACCCGTGTGGGTAGCGTGAGAGGGTGAGGGCATCTGGTTATTTATGAAACTCCAGCTGCGAAACATTATCAGACTCAAGGGGAGGTGGACTGGGGTGAAGGCTGAAAAGGGAGTGAGTGGGGGTGGAGGGAAGAAGATAGATAGATAGAGAGGGTGAATGGGGATAGATAGATAGATTAGATAGAGGGGGTGGATGGGGATAGATAGATTAGATAGAGGGGGTGGATGGGGATAGATAGATAGACTGGGGGTGGATAGGGAAAGCTAGGTGTTTATGGGGTGGGTGAGGTGGATGGGGATAGATAGATGATAGATAGATTAGATAGATAGGGCGTGTAGGGATAGATAGATAGATAGATAGAGGGGGTGAATGGGGATAGATAGATAGATTAGATAGAGGGGGTGTGTGGGGATAGATAGATAGATAGATAGAGGGGGTGAATGGGGATAGATAGATTAGATAGAGGGGGTGGATGGGGATAGATAGATAGATTAGATGAGGGGGTGGATGGGGGTGGGGGGGTGGATGGGGATAGATAGATAGACTGGGGGTGGATAGGGAAAGCTAGGTGTTTATGGGGTGGGTGAGGTGGATGGGGATAGATAGATGATAGATAGATTAGATAGATAGGGCGTGTGGGGATAGATAGATAGATAGATAGACAGATAGAGGGGGTGAATGGGGATAGATAGATAGATTAGATAGAGGGGGGGGGGGGGAGAGGGGGGTGTGAGGGGGATAGATAGATAGATAGAGGGGGTGAATGGGGATAGATAGATTAGATAGATAGACTGGGGGTGGATAGGGAAAGCTAGGTGTTTATGGGGGTGGGTGAGGTGGATGGGGATAGATAGGTAGATAGATAGATTAGATAGAGAGGGTGAATGGGGATAGATAGATAGAGGAGGTGGATGGGGATAGATAGATAGATAGATGGGGGATGGATAGGGAAAGCTAGGTGTTTATGGGGGTGGGTGAGGTGGATGGGGATAGCTAGGTGTTTAGGGGTGGGTGGAGGGAGGGGGTGAATGGGGGATGGAGAGGGAGGGAGGAAGGAAGGAGAGAGGGAGGGAAGAAAGGAAGCAAGCAGAGTGCGAAGGAAGAGGAGGGGGACGGGCCAGGCTCTCCTCACCTCCGGGCAGCTCCGCCGGGCCGCAGGTCGCCCTCTCCGCCTCCACGTCCTCCACCCAGAGCTTCTTGTAGCAGAACTTCCAGAGGCCGTAGTGGGCGGCCTCGCACATGGTGCTGTGGTTCTGCTTGTAGGTGTTGAGCTCCACCCAGAACTCGGTGCCCACGGCCAGCACGGTCAGCGTCACCCCCACGATGGCCACGAAGAAGGCCAGCTTGATCTTGCCCTCCTGGGCGTCGCTGAGGGCCGGGCGCCGCTTGCCGCCCACCCGGCCCCGCAAGCCAGCCATGCGCTGCTCCTCCTGCTGGAGGAAAAAATTGGGCCACATCATCCTTCCTGGGCCTTACCCCTCTGAGAACCCTACCCCTACCCCTACCCCTACCCCTACCCCTGCCCCTGCCCCTGCCCCTGCCCCTGCCCCTGCCCAGCGCTTCTCCCCGCCGCCTCGCGCGGACACTCTGCGCCTGCAGCCCGCAGCCCCTTTAGGTCGGACGCCCGCTGCCAAGCCGGGCCCCTGGCTGGCTGAGCGAGAGGCCGCCCGGTAGCTCACACCCGCGGCCCCGGCTGTAAATACGCCCCGCACCTGTTAGAGGCCATCACCCGTCTCCAGGGTGACGGAGGCTATTTTTAAGGCGCTGGTTTAGGTGCGTGTGTTTTAAAGCGGCACACGCAGCCCTGGGACCTGCCCACGGGCCCGCCCACTGGCAGCCAGCCCCCCTTCCCCATGCCCCCCTGGGAGCCCTCCCCCCGGCCAGCCCCCCTGCCCCACGCCCCACAGCGCCCCCTGGGAGCCCCCCTCACAGCCAGCCCCCCTTCCACACACCCCACAGCGCCCCCTGGGAGCCCCCCTCACAGCTAGCCCCCCTTCCACACACCCCACAGTGCCCCCTGGGAGCCCCCTCACAGCCAGCCCCCTTCCCCACACCGCCCCTGGGAGCCCCCTCACAGCTAGCCCCCTTCCACACGCCCACACCGCCCCTGGGAGCCCCCTCACAGCCAGCCCCCTTCCCCACACCGCCCTGGGAGCCCCCTCACAGCCAGCCCCCTTCCACACACCCCACAGCGCCCCTGGGAGCCCCCTCACAGCCAGCCCCCTTCCACACACCCCACAGCACCCCCTGGGAGCCCCCCTCACAGCTAGCCCCCCTTCCACACACCCCACAGTGCCCCCTGGGAGCCCCCCTCACAGCCAGCCCCCCTTCCCCACACCGCCCCCTGGGAGCCCCCCTCACAGCTAGCCCCCCTTCCACACGCCCCACACCGCCCCCTGGGAGCCCCCCTCACAGCCAGCCCCCCTTCCCCACACCGCCCCCTGGGAGCCCCCCTCACAGCTAGCCCCCCTTCCACACACCCCACAGTGCCCCCTGGGAGCCCCCCTCACAGCCAGCCCCCCTTCCCCACACCGCCCCCTGGGAGCCCCCCTCACAGCTAGCCCCCCTTCCACACACCCCACAGTACCCCCTGGGAGCCCCCCTCACAGCCAGCCCCCCTTCCCCAAGCCCCGCAGTGCCCCCTGGGAGCCCTCCCCCCAGCCGGACCCCCTTCCCCATGCCCTGCAGCGCCCCCCTGGGAGCCCCCCTCACAGCCAGCCCTCCTGCCCCATGCCCCACAGCGCCCCCTGGGAGCTCCCCCCACAGCCAGTGCCCCGATCTGCTCTTCACAATGTCCCCAGGAGCTCCCCAGCACGCAGCCCCGCTCCCCACAGTGTCCCAGGAGCTCCCCCTACGCAGCCAGCCCCGTGCCCCACGGCACCCCCTGCTGGGAGAGGTTTCCCCCACAGCCAGCACATGCCCACGGCACTCCAGGATGCAGGGCAGGAGTTAAACAGTGTCTCTGCCCAGCGCAGGGGCTGAGAGTTCAACCCAGGACAGGCACCCCGGGACCAAACCAGGGGCTGCAGGGAGTGGGGTGGGGGCTCGTCAGGGGGTGCTCTCCTTTTGCAGTCAGTGCTGGCACCGGGGCTGTTGGGTGAGAGGTTCCCTGTACCCCTGTGCCCCACCCCAGAGGGGTCACATCTCAGCGCTGGGCGAGGGGGTCCTTGTATAACCCACCTGTGCGCCTCACTCCAGAGGGGCCACTTCTCTGCCCTGGCTGAATGATTTGTTAAAGAATCAATTCTAAATATATCAGCTACCTTTTCTGAAAGCCTCTTCTTTGAATGGACTTTCTCTATGTAGCTGGGCAGCGCCTGGCATGACAGGGCCCCAATCTCGGTGATTGTGTCTGGGCAGCGCCCGGCCCGACGGGGCCCCGATCTCGGAGACTCTTTGTCCGGTCAGCGCCCAGTGCCCCGATCTTGGTCAACACCAAATGATACAAGCAACAAATAGGACTAACCTCTGGGGTCTAGACCAATGAAATAAGCGCCATCCCTGTATTTTCCATAGTACTTTATTTTTAAAGAGCGACTCCAGTAAAAATCCATGCATTTGGGCTGAGTTTTTTCGTTGTAGCTTTTCACATTGAACTGGCTTGTTGTATTCTTCCTTTATATCACCAGGACCACAACAACTGGGTTGGGGGTTGGTTTTGTTGTTTGTTTGGGGGGGGGGGTGGAGTATGTTCTTTGTTTTTTTTATATATATATATATTTGTTTTTTCCTTTTGTACGAAACGCACGTTAGACAGGTGACTCCCACTGGCTGACATAACTGCTTCATGGTTTTCTTTTTTTGTCACTTTTCTGTAACTTTTTTAACTTTTTTTTTTTTTTGGGTCCTTTTTTTTCTTCTCATAAAAGTTTTCAAGTTCTTTTTGTTTTCGTTTTTTCCGTCTGGATGGCACAAAATCCGGAAAAGCAAAATCGATCCCTCTCTTCCCCTCCCCCACATAAATCCTCCCCCACAATCTCCGTGAAATGAACAACCGAAACCGGGGAGGAGGACCCGGGGGGAGAAGAGAGAGAGAGAGAGAAATAAATAAATAGATAGATAACTAACCCCAAGCTAAAACCACTCAGAACAACAGCTTGGGAGAGGATCGTCTGATAGTTCCTCCCCCGGAAAGGACTTTTGGGTAAGATCGCCCTGTTGGGAATAGGGGAGGATGCCACCCAAAGAGAAGGAGAGGTTAAACTGCCGGCTACAGGGGTATGAAAACTCCCACATCCTTTGTCCGAGCTTCCGTTCCGGCCATCTGCAGCCTAATGCACTGATTGTAAGAGGTTGTCATTTTGTTCTGTTTGTACAGCGCCTAGCGCTGTTCTTCTCCAGGAAGCCAGACTCTATAAGGACGGGCTTGGAATTGCCGAATCGCACACGAAGGCCCTTTGCCACTATCGCAATGGGGATAAAGCAGAGACCAAATCAATTTGGTCTCCGGGCAATGGAATTTCTCCCGCTCTCCTTCTCTGTGCATCTCCTCCCCACCCCGAGGCTGCTAAAAAAAATCCCCCCCCCACACGCACACAACACATGCACACGGCGCAAAAACATGTCAATAAACCATAAAATCGCAACACAACCCAACATGGCCTCTCCCCGATGGCGCAAAATCCGGTATCAACAGAACCGATAAGAACCGAAACCTAAGAAAAGCTCAACACCGATTAGCTATAGATAGGTCTCTCTCTAGGTGTGGGGCTGGGGGACAAGGAGGTTTTCCGAAGAGGTTTTTAGTTTTTTGGCAAGGGGGGGCGGGGATTGGAAGACAATGGAAACAGGATGAATTCGCTGCAGAGGAAACAAACAGGAGTAGGAAATTAGTCTCGAGGGATCAGTGTGAGAAGGCGGCGTCTCTCAGATTGGGTGTGGGATTGCTTAAAAAACAGCTCCCCACCACCATCACCCCAGAGGTGGCTGCATCTTAGTGCTGGGTAAAGGACCCCTGGGTAAACAGCAGCCCCACATCAGAGGTGGCTGCATCTCAGTGCCGGGTAAAGGGGCCTTTTATAAACAGCATCCCCATATCAGAAGTGGCTGCATCTCAGTGCTGGCTAAAGGAGCCTTTTATAAACAGCGGCCCGCACATCAGAGGTGGCTGCATCTATGCATTGGGAGAGGAGTCCCTGTATAAACAGCCCCCTCACTCCACCCCAGAGGCACCTGCATTTCAGCACTGGGCGAGGGGTCGCTGTATAAACAGCCCCCATGCCTCACCCCAGTGGCAGTCACATCTCAGTGCCAGGTTTCGAACCGCTGTTACTCCCACATGTGACACTCGTTTGGACAGGATACTTGGTCCTGCTCGGCTGGGGCGCTGGGAAAATTTGGTCACCTTGGAAGGGTCCTGTGCTGGGGGTCAGTAGATATTCTGCAGTCGCTATCTCTTGGGAGGGCTCTTTCATATACAGACCATATTGCTCAGAGGGGAAGTCACTTTTGTGGCCCGTATTTATTTATTGACTGGGAAGGCTGGTTTATTATGTAGGCCATCACCCCCGGGGGGGCTGGGTATTGCCTGCCAACCTGTTTATGGTAGGGTCTCTATAACCGGACAAGGGCTGTTTAGTGTATGGACCATCGAGCCGAGCAGGGCTGTCTATTGTAGGTCCATATTGCAGTAGGAAATGGCTATTTTGTGTCATCTAGAGCAGGGCTACTCAAAGTGGTGGTCCGCGGACCAGTGCCGGTCTGCAATCCATCAGCTGCCGGTCTGCGAGCACATTGGAAAAAACAATTGCTGGTCCCCCCCATCAGATAGCTTGAGAAGCACTGATCTAGACTGATTAGGAGAATTGTCCGTATGGGCCCTGGGGGACAGGGAATGGCTACAGGGCAGGGGGACCCGAGCCATGCCCCCGATCTGCCCCCTAGAGGGAAAGGGAATAGCCACGGCCCAAACCCAGGTGGAGAATTTCCCCGACTCTGGGAGCTCCCGTTAAGAGCAGGGAAAGGCTGGTGGGGGGGGAGGGAGGGGAGAGTAGATGGGGGGCAATAAAACAGAGAGACACCTCTCCTGCTGAAAATACCCAGCACACTGAGCTACCACCCCCCGCCAGCAGGGGGTGCTTAGGGGGGTAAAGCTTTGGCACTTGGATATGGCACGACTATGAGCCCTTGGTGGGTTGGGGAAGAAAGGAGAGGTGGTATCTCTAGGTCACTAGCCCCACCCCCCACCCCCCGCCTTTCCAATTTCCTCCCCTCCATGTACAAACTTGCCAGCTGTGAATTTGGCACTGGTAAATTACAAGCCTCCCCCATTCTAACACAGACACCCCCCATGATCCCCTGAGAGGGAGGGATACGACCTGGGGACGGGTGTAGGGCAAAGGTAGGTGACCCCCAGCACTGAGACATGGCAGCATCCCCTCTGCAGGGCCCCTGTTCTCAGGACGGTGCTTGAATCATTTCAACCAGCTCCTATTCTGATCCGGACTTTTCCCACATTCTCCTGTGACCCACATCCTGTCCCCCCCGCGGATAGTGCCCTGCGTGTTGCGTCCCCCGAAGGCGGGAGCACAGCTGGGGAATTGGTTCCTGCTGGTGAGGAAATGTAAAGGAAAAGAGGGTAATGGTGGGGAAAGAAAGAAAGAAAGAAAGAAAGAAAGAAAGAAAGAAAGAAAGAAAGAAAGAAAGAAAGAAAGAAAGAAAGAAAGAAAATTAGCATTAGAATGGAAGAAAGAAATAATTAGTATTAAAATGAAAGAAAGAATACCAAATAATCTTACGAATAAAGGAAGAAATTAAAAGAGTAAAAATTGAAAGAAAAGAAAGAAAGAAAGAAAGAAAGAATTAGTATTAAAGAATAATAATCTTACAAAGAAAGAAATTAAAAGTTAAAATTAAAAAGAGAACGAATCACCAAACGAATGAACAAACGAATGAACACAGGAGGGAAGGAACACAGGGTTAGAAAGACATGTTGCTAAGAATGCCCCTTCATTAGCCTCACGCCCTCCCGTCCCGCCCTGCGCCGCGGCTCCCCCCGACCCCGGCCCCTGCCGCCAGCCCCCCGCCGCCTGCCCCTACACGGGCGTGGTCTTCCGGTTGAGCGTGTTGGTGTTGGAGGAGGCGTCCTTGCCCAGGGTGCCGGTGGCACCGGCCGTGCCGGGCCCTGTCACCGTCACCGTCACGCCGGGGTCCTTGGGGAAGGTGTTGTGGAGCTGCAGGAAGGCCCCGCCGGCCCCCTCCCGCTCGGCCCCGTAGAGGCTGCTGACGTTGGCCTTGGAGGGGTCCCGCGAGAGGGTGTACATGGAGATGTCGGTGGAGGGGAAGCCCTTGAGGCCCACGGGCGAGGCGTCCCGCGACTGCGAGGGCTCGGTGGAGTGGGAGCTGGAGCGGGAGCGGCGCCGGTAGCGGAAGCGGTAGCTGGGCAGGCGCAGGATGGCGCTGGAGGAGGACGAGGGGTTCTTCAGCAGCTCGGTGCGGCTCTTGCAGTGGGCCTCCCGGTTCTTCTCGATGTAGATGTTGACGGCCAGCACCCCGATCATCTCAGCCAGGATGAAGGACAGGCCCCCGAAGTAGAAGGACCAGCCGTAGGAGTAGTGGCTTTTCTTCTCGTCGTCCCGCTTGGTGCCCGGGTCCCCGGCGTTGGCCGAGATGTACACAATCACCCCGATGATGTTGCTGAGGCCTGGGGAGGGGCATTGGGGGGAGGGATGGGGCCCATGGATGGAGGAGAGGTGGGGACGGGGTGGATTCGGGGGAAGGGCAGAGGAGATGGGGCGGTGGATGGAGGAGGGGTGGGGACGGGGGTGGATTCGGGGGAGGGGCGGAGGAGATGGGGCGGTGGATGGAGGAGGGGTGGGGACGGGGTGGATTCGGGGGAGGGGCGGAGGAGATGGGGCGGTGGATGGAGGAGGGGTGGGGACGGGGTGGATTCGGGGGAGGGGCGGAGGAGATGGGGCGGTGGATGGAGGAGGGGTGGGGACGGGGTGGATTCGGGGGAAGGGCGGAGGAGATGGGGCGGTGGATGGAGGAGGGGTGGGGACGGGGGTGGATTCGGGGGAGGGGGCGGAGGAGATGGGGCGGTGGATGGAGGAGGGGTGGGGACGGGGTGGATTCGGGGGAGGGGCGGAGGAGATGGGGCGGTGGATGGAGGAGGGGTGGGGACGGGGTGGATTCAGGGGAGGGGCGGAGGAGATGGGGTGGTGGATGGAGGAGGGGTGGGGACGGGGTGGATTCGGGGGAGGGGCCGGGTGGGAATTGGGGCCATGGATGGTGGAGGGATGGGGACGGGGCAGATTTTGAGGGGATTGGGACAGATTGCGGGGAACGGGGGAAGGGAGAGAGGAGGGGGAGAAAGGTGGGGAGAGGGCAGAGGGGGCAGGTGAGTAGCCAGGGCAGGAAGGGGGGGGGCAGGAGGGGGAGGGGGGGGCACAGAGAGCTATTAGGGAAGTAACCACGGAGCCCTTCCCCCACTCAGAAGCCCCCGCAGGGACCAGCTAGCCCCCTCGCCCCCCCACCCCACACCACCAAAGCCGGATCGTCCCCGTGTGTGGGGCAAGGGAAGCCTTCCCCGGACCCACAGCCCAGACGCCCAGCCTCCGCCACCCCCCCACAAATTGGGTCTGGATTTCTTTCTTCCTTTCTTCCCAGTTCCCGGGGAGTCTCAGACCAGGTTCAGCACCCCCCAATGGCTGGAGGAGACTGACTTATCCTAGACAAGGTGGGGGGAGGCGAAAACTCCCCTAAAGCTGGGCCCCCTCTGCACTGATTCTCCACCCCCCCCCCCCAGCTGTGCCCATGGGCTCCTCCCACTCCTATGGCCCTGGGCAAGTCCCCTGACTTGGGGCCATTTGCGGGGGGGGGGGGCGTATTCCAGGTTCCCAGTGGTTCCCCCCTCCCAGCCCAAGATGCCCCATGAACTGAGCCAGAGAGGGTGGGTGGGAAGCAAGCCCTGATTGGAAAAGCCCCGCCCCCTAAGCCCCGCCCCCGGCAGGCCCCACCCACTCACCAGCAGCAACGAATAAGATCCCAGCGCCCAGGATGATGTTGCGCTTGGACTTGTAGACCCGGCTGGCGGCCACACAGAACCCCCCCAGCAGCAGCAGGATGGCGCTGAGGATGGGGAAGATGCTGGAGGCACGGACCACACCTGGGGGCGGGAGGGGGGCAGAAGAGATGAGTCAAGCTGGGTGGCAGGAGGGATCCCCAAGCCTGGCCTATTGGCGAATGGGCAAGTGGCAGCGTTCTGGGACCAATCAGAATCCAGGGTTTCTTGGCTGTCTGAGGGCCAGTGGCCAATCAGAATCCAAGGACTTCCAGCCCTCTGAAGCCAACAGCTAATCAGAATCTGTGATTTTTTTGACACTCGGAGGTCAAGAGACAATTACAACACAGGGTAGGTCAACAGCCAATCAGAGTCTCCAGTTTTTTAGTGCTTTGAGGTCAAGAACCAATCGGAGAACAGGATTGCTCAAGGTTCTCAACCTACCAGCCAATCAGCAGGATTACTCAAAGATCTGAAAGGATCTGTGACGAAGCGGGACTGTTGTTAATGTTTCCTCTGAATATTCTGGGGGTGCCTCAGTTTCCCCTATGCAGTTCTTAAGTATCTTTAGGTGGTGGAGTAAGGGTGTATGATCGTTGCAGAGCCCTAGAAGGCAGGTGTGTGCAGGGGTCTGGACACAGAGAATGGCCGACACCCTGTTTCCTGGCAATTGATGGCCTGGGCCCTTCCCGCCTGCAAGGTGAGAGCTAAAGGGTTGGAGAAGAAAGGAATCAGCTGGCCTCCTGGCCTGGGAAAGGGACAAAGTCCAGAGGAGGAGGGGCTGGAGGGGGAGGCAGTTTGGGGCTGGCTGGGGATGTGGAGTGAAGTGCAGATGGGGTTGTCTGGCTCACTGCTCCCCAAAATGGACCCAGCTGAGGGGTCCTGTTCTCTGCACCTGCAAGCTCTGTGTTAGACCATGTTCCTGTCATCTAATAAACCTCTGTTTTACTGGCTGGCTGAGAGTCACGTCTTACTGCGGAGTTGGGGGGCAGGACCCTCTGGCTTCCCCAGGAGCCCCGCCTGGGCGGATTCGCTGTGGGAAGCGCACGGAGGGGCAGAGGAGGCTGAATGCTCCGAGGTCAGACCCAGGAAGGTGGAGCCAGGGGAGCTGTGTGTCCTGCAGACAGGCTGCTCACAGGAAGGCGACTGCCCCAGAGTCCTGACTGGCTTCGTAGGGAGCAGATCCAGAGCATCGCCCAGGGACTCCGTGACAACTGGTGTCAGGGGTGGGATGTACTGCACCCCGCGGATGGCGCTTCCTGTAGTAAGTGACTGGTGAACAGTAAAATGAAGGGGGATTGACGAGGACCAGGAGTGCTGAAGGCTCAGAGAGGAGCGGTTTCAGGGAGTGGTTAACCCCTGGGAGTGTGTGACCAGCGAGAAGGACTGTGCAGTAATGGGGTCCCCCTGGGGACTGCGGTGAGCAGTCTCAGGGGCGGAGGAGCCTGCGGCTTGGCCCTGGGAGAGAGAAAGACTTTTGCAGTAACAGGGTTCCCCTGGGGATTGCAGCGAGCAGTCCCAGGGGAGGAGGAGTCTGCAGCTCGAGCCTGGCAAAGAGGTGGTGACCTCGAGAAGGGCTGGCACACTAGGGGTTCTCCCTGGAGACCGTGGAGAGCTGAGAGCACACAGGCCTGTGAGTCCACAACAGCTTGGGAAGAGCGGAGTGATGGCCTGTCACCGTCTCCTTAAGAAGGACGTTGTAACCCTGTGCAGAAAGAGAGGGTTGAGCATTGGAAAGTTCACCAAAGCAGTTAATCGTGCAGCTGCAGGAGGATGACCGCTCTAAGGAGCAGATTCCTGACCCCAAATGGGGCTATAGCAGGATCTGGGAGCAGCTGGAGTGGGAGCCAGGCATCCCCAAGACTCCTGTCCCCGACCAGACGGGGGTCTTCATGATCGGGTTCCCCATCGGGGGATCGGAGACGGACGGGATTGGAGCTGAGTCCGAGAGAGCAAGAGGACTGTGAGAGACAGCGAGAGCCCGAGAAAGAGCTGCAGAAGCAGCAGCAGCATGAACTGGCGGTGGTGGGGCGGAGAGGCCTAGGGGACCTCCCCGGGGTGAGTGGGGATAGACCCCGGGGGGCCAGTTCCGCAGGGAACCTTGAGACTAAATTGCTGCCCCTGGTTAAGGAGGGGGGGGATGTGGATGCCACCCCACTGCCTTTGAGCAGGCTGGAGATTTGAACCAGGGGGACCCTGCGGAAAAGCCCCGGTGTCTAGCTCCCTTACTGGGTCCCAAGGCCATAGACTCCGTCAGCCAGATGGGTGGGGAGGTGGACAGGCTCCCACTCCTGACCCCAACCTATATGTCTCCTGGGGCCAGGCCCCTCGGACCTCCAGTGGGAGCGGAAGGTGATGGTCAATGGGGAGACATTCCTGGGGTGGTGAGACCATGGGACAGAGAGAACTGTTGTCAGGCCCCGGGTGGTGCAGCCTCAGATGTTGAGGGGCTGGGTGAGCTGGGTGAGGGTCCCAGGGACGAAGCCCCTCGCCCTGCCTATGGCCCAGATCCCTATGCAGACCCATGAGGGATGGGGCTGGCTGGTTGTTGGGGTGCACCAGGATACCAGCTGTGAGACCCTGTTGTGGGGTGACTGTGTCTCTTTGGGACAGGATCCAGGCCCTGCTCCAGTAACAGCCAAGGGTTTGAATTTGAATCCAGGGAACCAATCGGTGGAGAGGGAAATGGTCAGTGAAAACGCAGATGACCTGGTTGGCAGGCGGGAGGAGTGGCTAGGCTCAGGCTACCTGCCTGCCTGTAACCAGACCCCTGGGGCTGGGTGGGACAGAGAGATGCTCCCTGCCCCCTTGCACACCGGAGAGGGGGCTCACGCTGGCTCTGATGCAGTGAGGAAAGCAGCGAGCTCGCTGCCTACCCCACTGGGACAGCAAGGGCAGCGCTGAGCACAGTGGGAGCTGAGACCCCAGCTGAGGGGGGGAGACACAGGCAGGGCAGGGGATCTGTGGGAGAACACTTCAATCTCTCTGGTCACGCAATCACAGACATGAAGGTCGCTATCTTAAAACAAAAAAACTTCAAATCCAGACTCCAGCGAGAAACTGCTGAATTGGAATTCATTTGCAAATTGGATACTATTAATTTAGGCTTAAATAGAGACTGGGAGTGGCTAAGTCATTATGCAAGGTAGCCTATTTCCTCTTGTTTTTTCCTACCCCCCCCCCCCCCAGATGTTCTGGTTTAACTTGAATTTAAACTTGGAGAGTGGTCAGTTTGGATGAGCTATTACCAGCAGGAGAGTGAGTTTGTGTGTGTATGGGGGTGGGGGGGATGTGAGAAAACCTGGATTTGTGCAGGAAATAGCCCAACTTGATTATCATGCACATTGTGTAAAGAGTTGTCACTTTGGATGGGCTATCACCAGCAGGAGAGTGAATTTGTGTGTGGGGGGGTGGAGGGTGAGAAAACCTGGATTTGTGCTGGAAATGGCCCAACCTGATGATCACTTTAGATAAGCTATTACCAGCAGGACAGTGGGGTGGGAGGAGGTATTGTTTCATATTCTCTGTGTATATATAAAGTCTGCTGCAGTTTCCATGGTATGCATCTGATGAAGTGAGCTGTAGCTCACGAAAGCTCATGCTCAAATAAATTGGTTAGTCTCTAAGGTGCCACAAGTACTCCTTTTCTGAACTTGTTTGTGGCAAAGGGAAGGAGAAGGCTTCTGACCATTTATCTAGGAAGTCTGTCAGTTTGCCTGAAAGGGGATTGTGTAGGAATCCGCCGGATGGGCCAGAGGTAATTCTGGATGTAAGAGAGACCCAGAGAGAGTCTGTTGTTGCTCTGGAAAGTGTTCCTCTAGAGCAAGCCCTAGGTAAAGAGGGTAAGAGCAGAATTTCTGGGAGGGGTGAATTGTTGCATAGAAAAGCCCTAGGGAAAGGAATCCTCATGGTCTTTGCAAGCAGTTTACCGCAACTGAAGGGTGTGAAAGTGATTTAATCAAGACAGTTTCAGTTCCTAACAGCCAGAAATTTTCTGTTGTGAATGGATCCACTGACTTTCCTGTTGAAGGATCCAGTGTGGAGAGCTTTGAGAAGGTCTCAGATGGGGTGAAAGCTGTTAAGAAAGTTAAAGAGTCCTATAACCAAGTGGCTGTGTTTGGCCAGCTTGTTGAAGAGACAAGGTTGTTGAGAGAGGAATGTCTCCATGCTAGTTCTGTAAGTGAACAGTATGTGGCCCAGGTCAAGATGGGGGCTCTTAACAAAGAGAGCCCGAATTGCAGCCCTCCAGACTGGAGCGCTGGGAGAAGACCTGATCCCAGTTTGACCCCCTGGGGTTGCCAAAGGGCACAGGCCGCATAAACCTTCCCATATGCGGCATGCGAGTGCTATCGACCACCCCGACCTAAGGGAGGGTGTGACACTGGAAGGGCGTAAAACTGGAAGGGCCTGGTGTAACTCGCACCGAGGAATGGGAGAGATCCTGGGGCATCCATGGGAACGCTGGTGGGTTCGAACTTCCCCAGGTCACCGGCTACAGTGACCCCGCTTAGTTCAGTCTCAAAGGGGGGAGATGTGACGAAGTGGGACTGTTCTTAATGTTTCCTCTGAATAGTGTGGGGGTGCCTCAGTTTCCCCTATGCAGTTCTTAAGTATCTAGGGGGTGGGGTAAGGGTGTATGATCATTGCAGAGCCTTAGAGGGCAGGTGTGTGCAGGGGTCTGGACACAGAGAATGGCTGACACCCTGTTTCCTGGCAACTGATGGCCTGGGCCCTTCCCCCCTGCAAGGTGAGAGCTAAAGGGTTGGAGAACAAAGGAATCAGGTGCCCTCCTGGGCCGGGAAAGGGACAAAGCCCAGAGGAGGAGGCAGTTTGGGGCTGGCTGGGGACATGGAGTGAAGTGCAGATGGGGTTGTCTGGCTCACTGCCCCCCAAAATGGACCCAGCTGAGGGGTCCTGTTCTCTGCACCCACAAGCTCTGTGTTAGACCATGTTCCTGTCGTCTAATAAACCTTCTGCTTTACTGACTGGCTGAGAGTCACGTCTGACTGCGGAGTTGGGGGGCAGGACCCTCTGGCTTCCCCAGGGGCCCGCCTGGGCAGACTCTCTGTGGAAAGCGCACGGAGGGGCAGAGGAGGCTGAATGCTCCGAGGTCAGACCCAGGAAGGTGGAAGCCGGGTGAGCTGTGTGTCCTGCAGACAGGCTGCTCCCATAGAGGAGACTTCCCCAGAGTCCTGCCTGGCTGCGTGGGGAGCAGATCCAGAGCATCGCCCAGGGACTCCGTGACAGGATCACACAGGTTACAGATTTCCCTATGCTCTGGTGTCACAGCCAATCAGCATTCAACTTCTGAGGCTGCCAGCCAATCAGCATTCAAGGTTTCCCATCATTCTCAGGCCAATTGGCAAGCAGAGTGACCCGGTGAGGCCAGCAGCCAACCAGAGCTGTGGATGTCCCAATGCTCTGACACTCCCAGCCAGTGAGAATCTGGGATTTCCCAGCATATTAATGTCACCAGCCAATCAGCATCTGGTGTCACTCAGCAGTCTGAAATGCACCAGTCAGTCAGCATCTGGGTCCATTTACATTTCTAAAGCTCTTAGCCATTGGGAGCCTGGGGTTTCCCAGCCCGGGGAAGGACATTAAGGAAGCCAAAAGTCAGGAATGGCTGGTGTTAAAAATGCCTAAACCCCCTTAACTCTGCCCCCTTGGAAAAAACAGAGTCTCTAAGGACGCCACCTCTTGCTATTCCTTCAGCAGAGGGCTCATTTCGCTCAGCGTACGGGAGGGAGAAAGGGCTAGGGCGTACTGAATGGCCAGGTGTCTGCCCGAATGAAATAAAATAATACAGTATTTCTCTGTTGAATCAAATCACTTAAACATTGATTGTTCAAGACAGACAGATAGATATAGCTATCTGTCCCCACATGTACCCTTCTGTCCATCCATCCTCATACATACCTATCCATCCTCCCCACCCCTTCATCCATCCTGATATACACCTATCCATCCAGCCCCGCACCCCTTTATCCATCCATCCTCCTACACACACCCATCCATCCATCCATCCCTCAGCTCCTACCAGACGGCTCTGCTCTATTCCCGACCAATGGGAGCTGCGGAGCCGGCGCTCAGGGTGGAGGCAGAGTGCGGAGCCAGACAGGGAGCCTGCCAGCCCCGCCAACACCCCCCCAACACCTGCAGCAGCAGGGGTCCTGGGCCATGCGCGACTGCCCACATCCCCCAGCACCCCCGGGCTGCTCCCCCCATCAGCAGCCATGTTGGCCCCTGGCCACCCCGAGCACCCGCAGCGCCCCCCCAGGCTGTCCCCCTCCCAGCACCTGTGGTACCCCCAGCGAGGATTGGTGAAAATACTGGTTTGGAGGACTTTCATTTAAACTAATTGGTTAAGGTACAGCTAAACAGGACCCCAGTTTCACTGTATAAACTGGAGTCCAAAGGAAAGTTCAGAACGTAACTCCAGGACACAGCCCAAGATCAGGGCTGCCAGACCTCAACACCTGATCAGAATCTGGAGTCCCCGGCCGACCTGATCCTGACTGGCCACCAGGAAAAGTTTGTCTGCCTTATTGGGAGTGGTGATCACTGTATGCTTACCGTGTGCATTCTCTTTTGGTAACTGTTAGTAAATAGAAGTTAAGGATATTACTGTGTAAGACTCTTTCACTACTAAAAGGCCCCGCAAACCTGGAGAAGATTAGGCCCTGAGCCCTAGGAACTGGGTAAGGGTGGGAGTGCCTACATTAATTGGATTACCTCTTGAGTCCATGGAAGGGTAAAGGTGGGGTGGCATAGAGTGTGTGGTTTACACACTATCCATATACAGAGAGCCTTTGATAATAGCTCTTAGAGGCGTGAGCTTCCCCTATTCATGCTGAGTGGTCTGTTAACTCTGAAACCTAATGATGACCATCAAACCTTGAACCTGCCTCACTATTATCATTTATTTGTATCTTTAAGTAGCAACTAGAGGCTTTAACTGAAATTGGGGCTCAGCCGTGCCAGGGGCTGCAGTCACAGAGTGACTGAGACAGGTGGCCCATCATGCCACGCGCTGCCCAGAAACAGAATCGCTGAGCTCAGGGCCCTGTCATGCGGGGCACTGCCCAGACACAGAGTCACCAGGACTGGCACTCCATCATGCCCTGCACAAACCAAGGGACAGAACCTCACCCAAGCATCTTACAATCTATATGGACAGAAAGGAAGTATTCCTACCTCTACTTCGGAGCCCTTGACTTGGCACGTTTAATGGCTTCTTCACAGACTGGTTTTTTTCTTGTGCATGTGGAAACGGAATTTCCCAGGTTTTCCTTCTGAAATCCCCCATCCCCCCCCGCCCCCGCCGCAATCCGAACCATCTGCTTCCACCACCAGGCAGGGAAAAGGAGACACAGCCCCCGAAAGCTAAGCCAGCTCCAGGTAGGCTGCTCCCGGCCACATCAAAATGGATTTGCACAGAGACGGGGAAAAGAACTAAAACTGGCCCAAGGGCAATTTCGCTGCCACGCTTCCACTCCGGCTCCCCAGCTGGTGTGGGTGCCAGTACCACGTTCAAAAAAAGACATCAAAGTTTGTGTCGTTTTGGGCTCTATTCTGGGCTATGCTGCCCACAGCCTCTGCACTGCCAAACTGCTTTAAGTCACAGCCTGGACCGGCAAACAAGGTTGGGCCGGGAGCACAGAGCAGGTCTGGGGTATTTAACCCTGAAAGGGGAACAATATGAGCATCTTTAAAAAAAGGGGGCTTGGAATGGGAAAGTTCAGGCAACCTTAGCTAGAGATGGGGACAAAGCCGGACTAGACTCCAATTCCTTTCCAAGTCAACTTCCCGCCTGTACTACAGCTGTCGGGAACCCCAAAACTGAGATGCCCCTGCATCCCCTCATGCATTTCAGCCCCCAGGAAGATGCCGCTCTGTGCGCTAAGCAGGCTTCCCGCTCTGGCACCTGAGCACGGCACAGGGCCATTGCGGGTCATGCCAGCAGTGCAGCTGGGGACCCCGATGGATACGTACGCAGGAGATACTCGGCGCTGTCGTGGTCGTAATCTGTGTCCTCAGGGAAGTGGTTAATTTTCACACACACACCCCTCTTCAGGCCTGCAACGGAGATGGAGAAATCAGAATCTGGGGCCTGTCTCCCGCCCAGTACCCAGCTCAGACCAATGGGGATGCCAACGCTGCAAGCTTCCCCATAACGGTGCCCAGACGGGGCCACCGACGCTGCGAGCTTCCCCACAGCAGTGCCCAGATGGGGACGCCAATGCTGCGAGCTTCCCCACAGCAGTGCCCCAGTGGGGACACCGATGCTGCAAGCTTCCCCACAGCAGTGCCCAGCCTGGGATCCTCAAATGAAGGTACCTTCCAGGCAGCATATCCTCCAGAGGCCGGAGTGGGTGAGGCCCCCTGGGTCCTTCTTGTCCTTGTGGGGCATTTCCTCGCTGGAGATGTTGGTGGTGTTACAGATGAAGGCGCGGGCGTAGAGCCAGTAGTCGGTGCCAATGGCGATGGTCATGAGGCCGAAGGCTGCGAAGGCCCCGACGGTGGTGAGGAGGATCTGAACCCCCTTCTCACACCACACCACCCTCTCCTCATTCCAGCGCTTCAAGGACTCCAGCTTGACAGGGGGATGGGGTGGGGCCACCCACCCAACCTGACGACAGAGACTTCCTTGCACCCTCCTCCCTACTCACGGCTGGGGATCGACTCTGGAACCCAGGAGTCCTGGGTCCTAAAACTCTCTAACCACTAGACCCCAATAACCTCCCACAGCCCGGGATAGAACCCAGGAGCCCTGGCTTCCTGCTCTAACCACTAGACCCCACTCCCCTCCCAGAGCACAGATCTTCTTCCGTAAGCAGGTGTCTCCTTCCTCGGCTTCAGTCCCTGGTTCTTGGCTGGAGGCCGAGCGGGTCGAGGGGTCCTGGCGCCCGTACTGGCAGCCCCAGGGGCGATTCCATGGGTGACGCCAGCCCACCTGGCACCCGGCCTCCCCTCAGCGTGGGGTGCGGTGTCAGCCGACCTGGGGGTGGGAGAGAAATGGAGAAGGGGGGAGGTCAGCGGGGGATTGGCAAGGAGACGACCTGACACCCATCACCCCCCACACCCCTCTGACACCCAGCACCCTCCTGCACCCCTCTGACACCCAGCACCCCCTGCATACCCTTCTGATACCCAGCACCCTCCGCACAACCCTGATACCCAGCACACCCCATGTACCACTCTGACATCCAGCATCCCCCCGCATACTCCTCTGACACTCAGCACCCTCCGCATACTCCTCTGACGCTCAGCACCCCCCACACCCCTCTGATACCCAGCACCTCCCATGTATCACTCTGACATCCAGCATCCCCCCGCATACCCCTCTGACACCCAACCCTCTCAACTCCTCTGACACTCAGACCCCCTCTGATACCCACACCTCCCATTATATTGAATCCAGCATCCCCCCCCTCTGACACCCAGCACCCTCCGCATACTCCTCTGACACTCGCCCCCCACACCTCTGATACCCAGCACCTCCCATGTATACTCTGACATACTCCTCTGACACTCAGCACCCCCCACACCCCTCTGATACCCAGCACCTCCCATGTATCACTCTGACACCATCCAGCACCTCCCATCCCTGACATACCCCTCTGACACTCAGCACCGCCCCACACCCCTCTGATACCCAGCACCTCCCATGTATCACTCTGACATCCAGCATCCCCCCGCATACCCCTCTGACACCCAGCACCCTCCGCATACTCCTCTGACACTCAGCACCCCCCACACCCCTCTGATACCCAGCACCCCCACACCCCTGACACCCAGCACCCGCCACATACTCCTCTGACACCCAGCACCCCCCATGTATCCCTCTGATACCCAGCACCCTCCGCATACCCCTCTGACACCCAGCACCCCCCCACACATCCCTCTGATACCCAGCGCCCCCCCGCATACCCCTCTGACACCCAGCACCCCCCGACACACACCCCTCTGACACCCAGCACCCCCACACACACACCCCTCTGACACCCAGCACCAACCCCATCACAGTATTCCATTCCCCCACACCAGCCTGCGCTCCTAACACCACCTCCTTCCCTGATCCACTCCCATGGCCTGTACACCCCCCCCCACCCACCCCCTGCGGCCGCCTGCATCCCCCTTGGCAGGAGTCCCTCCCGGATTTCCCCCGCCCCAGCCTGCACTGCTGTGGAGGGGGGGTGGGAGACTGGCAGCCAGGACTCCTGGGTTCTCTCCCCAACTCTGGGAGGGGAGTGGGGTCTAGTGGTTAGAAGGGGGGGCTGGGAGCCAGGACTTCTGGGTTTTGTTATTGGCTCTGTGACTTTGGGCCTGTCTCTTTCCCTCTCTTAGCCTTATTGAAAACAGAGGGAAACTAAGGCAAACACTGTTTGCACCCCACCAGCACGGGAAGATGAAGATGGGCAGGGTATTGGGGTCCATGAATGCTCCCCCCTGGGCATCGAATGCCTCGAAGGACAAAGCAAGACCCACCCCAAGCCCGATATTCCTGTGTCTGGAGCATGATCACTTGGTACCGCCGCATCCGGCCTGGCCCCAAATTTCAGTGACTCTTCCAGGCACCAAAGGGCAGAAGCCTATGGAGCCCGGGGGAAACTGGGAAAACCGGAAGAGGAAAAGTGGGGCTTGGCATCTGGTTAGCGCAGCCGGTCGCCTTCAGCCAGGCCTGTGGATCAAAGGACCAGCTGCCGGCAAAAACCGAGGCCCACAGTGGAGCTGCACCTCCGAGCCAGCTCTGCCCAGCATCCCAGTAGAGAGACACTTAGACACCCTGAAAGAGTGATGTCCCGAAACAAGGGAAAGGAGTGAGGAGGAGAGAGACCCAGATGCCTTGTCATGGGGGGAGGATAGATAGATAGACAGATAGATAGATAGATAGATAGATGGGGTGGCTAGGGATAGATAGATAGATAGATAGATAAGGTATATGGGGATGGACGGATGGAGATACGGGGATGGATGGAGAGACAGGAAGATGTGTATGGGGATAGACAGACAGGGTGCATGGGGCTGGACAGACAGACAGAGGCATCCAAGCCCGACCCACCCTGCTCTCCTTGAATCGGTATTAACTCCTCAGCCGGGGGGGGGGTCTCTTTGGGTTCTCCCCCACCCCAGGGATCTGCCTCCATGTCTGGGTGTCTTCCCTGCCCGCTCGCCATGCATTAGGTCTATATTCCTCCACATCAGTTTCCCCCTGCCCTCGCCTCCAGCCCCCACGAATCCCCCCCTCACTCCCCGCCCTGACCCCTTATCCTCTCTGTCAGCTCCTGGAAGATGGGGTCAGGGGTGCGGTGTTGGCATGTGCCATTTCCACACGTTAGCCACAGTTCACAGCGAGCGCACCAATGTTCTTGTCATTTACACAAGCGCATGCCTCTATCCGTGGCTAGAACACCCGTGCATGTGTGTGTGTGTCATTTACACAAGCACCTGCCACGAATCACGGCTAGAACACCCGGGTGCGTGTCACTCCAGCCACGTCTCTCTCCCTTCCGGTTCCCAAATGGCAACCCCAGCCTCGTCCGCCCAGTCCCGGCTCCTGTCTAAGGGTGTAAAATGGGGGACACACTCAGAGAATATCACACACACACGCACAAACGTCACACTGAGACACACCAAGACAGAACCTCACACACGCAACACACCGACATACACACACACAGACAACATCACACCGAGATACACTGAGCCACACTCAGACAGAACATCACACACACACATCACACCAAGACACACACAGACACAGACAGAACATCACACACAAACATCACACTGAGACACACTCAGGCAGAACACACACACACACACAGACACAACACACCCAGACACACATACCATCATGTCACACACAGAGGCAACACCAAGGCACATCATACACACACACACCAGCACCAAGACACAACACCATACACACACACTCATACACACACACACCCCACACCAGGACACAGACAGAACAGACAACATCACACAGAGATACACACTTAACCAACCTGCTGCCCGAATTAGGGGGTTGCCAAGAGGTGTTTGTGTGTGTAAATATCTCCTCCTCCCAAAGATCCTGGCCTGCTAGTCAGCCCCTCCACAAGGCCCCTTCCCTTCCAATATCCCCCCTCCCCTCCCTTTCTGCATTTCTATGCTTTCTTTGCAGCTGCCTAGAGATGCAATTTCCTTCCCAGATGCAGAACATGGTCCCCCCCACCATCTCCGGCAGCCAGAAGCCCCCCCCCCCCGCCCCCGCATCCCCGACAGCCATTGCCCTGATGGCTTGCAATAAAGCCACCCCCTTTGCCCCACACCCCTTTTCACTTCAGCACCACTTGCTCCCAGGTGCATCCATTAGCTGCCAATGTCCCCCCCCACCCCGCCAGCCCTCGTGCGCCATGCGGCCAGGAAATCGCCCAGCAGAACTGTTGCATTATCCGCGTGCATTTCCTCTGTCCCCCTCCCCTGTACACACCCCCAAAGTCCAGCCACTGTGCAGGACTGGGTCTCACTTCCCCTGCACCCGCATCCATCCAGTGAGTATCACTGGGGCTCATTTCCTCTGCTCTCCCATCCCCATACAGCACCCCCCGCCCCCACCGCAAACTCCAGCCACTGATCATCTTTAGGCCTCATTTCTTCTCACCCCCAAATCCATCCACTGGCGTCTTCTGGCCTCATTTCCCCCTGCCCCCCAAATACCCCCAAATCCATCCACTGAGTATATTTGGGGCTCATTTCCCCTGCCCCCTCTACTCCCCCAAATCCATCCACCGAGCGTCTTTGGGGATCATTTCCCCTGCCCCCCATACACCCCTAAATCCATCCACTGAGTACCTTTAGGCCTCATTTCTTCTCACCCACAAAGACGTCCCAAATCCATCCACTGGCATCTTCTGGCCTCATTTCCCCTGCACCCCAGACTCCCCCAAATCCATCCACCAAGTGTCTTTGGGGCTTATTTCCCCTGCCCTCCCAAACACCCCCAAATCCATCCACTGAGCGTCTTTGGGCCTCACTTCCCCTGTCCCATACACCCCCAAATCCATCTACTGAGTGTCTTTGTGTCTCATTTCCTCTGCCCCCCAAACACTCCTGAATCCATCCACTGAGCACCTTCGGGCCTCACTTTCCCTGCCCCCCATACACTCCCCAATCCATCCACTGAGTGTCTTTAGGCTTCATTTCTTCTCACCCACAAAGACGTCCCAAATCCATCCACTGTCGTCTTCTGGCCTCATTTCTCCCGCCCTCCCAAAAAACCCCAAATCCATCCACCAAGTGACTTTGGGGCTCATTTCCCCTGCCCCCATAAACCCCCAAATCCATCCACTGAGCGTCTTTGGGCCTCATTTCCCCTGCCCCCTAAAACCCCCAAATCCATCCACCAAGGGTCTTTGGGCCTGCCTCATTTCCCCTGCCCCCCCACACCCCCAATCCATCCACCAAGCGTCTTTGGGGCTCATTTCCCCTGCCCCCCACACCCCCCCAAATCCATCCACAGGCATCTTCTTCCCTCATTTCAACTGCCCCCCAAACACCTCCAAATCCATCCATCGACTGTCTTAGGGCCTCATTTCCCCTGCTCCCCCCCACACCCCCAATCCATCCACCAAGCATCTTTGGGGCTCTTTTCCCTTGCTCCCACACACACCCAAATCCATCCACCAAGTAACTTTGGGGCTCATTTCTCCTGCCCCCCATACACCCCCAAATCCATCCACGGAGCGTCTTAGGGCCTCATTTCCCTCGCCCCCCATACACCCCCAAATCCATCCACCCAGCATCTTTGGGGCTCATTTCCCCTATGTCCCCCCCACACCCCTGAATCCGAGTACGAGTCTATTTCAGTCTCCCCACCCCCAGCTCCTGCCCACCAAGGAGGGGTCTCCGCGCGTGGGCAGAGGCTGGCACGACCCCCGGCTCTTTGGGGTCCCAGGCAGGCCCCCCCACAGCCGGGGGGGTGCAGAAGCCGAGGCCGCGCGGGGGGGGGGGGCTTACTGTGCAGATGCAGCGGTGGGGGGGTCTCTGGTCCGGCGCCGGCCCCGGGAGCGGTCAGGGGGCGCTGGGGGCTCCGGGGCGCGTGGCGAGCTCGGCGGGGCGCAGGGCGCGGGCGCCCCGGTCCATGCCCCGCTGCAGAGCGGCTCGGGGCGGGCGGGGGACGCAGCAGCCGGCGCGCACCCGGCAGCCCGCTCGTATGGCACCGGGAGGGACCGCGGGCGGAGGCTGCGAAGGAGCTGGGGGGGAGGGAGAGGGAGGGGGAGGGGGAGAGGAGGGGAAGGGGGTGAATGAAGAGTGGGGGTGCAGGGGGGAGGGGACACGGTAGGGAGGGGAAGGGAGCGGGAGGAGAGGGTGGGGTGCAGGGGGAGGGGGAACTGAGGGGCGGGGGAAGGGAGATGGGATGGGGTGCAGGAGGGGAGTGGGGGGTGCAGGAAGGGTGGGGCACAGGGAGATGGGAGGGGTGCAGGAGAGGAGAGGGGGTGCAGGGGGGAGGGGACACGGTAGGGATGGGGAAGGGAGATGGAGGAGGGGATGGGGTGCAGGGGGATGGGAACTGAGGGGTGGGGGAAGGGAGATGGGATGGGGGTGCAGGAGGAGAGGGGGAGGGAACATGGGGTTCATGGGGGGAGGGGACACGGAGGGGAGGGAGAAGGAAGAGGGAGGAGAGGAGTGGGGTGCAGGAGGGGAGTGGGGGTGTAGGGGGGAGCGGACATGGAAGGGAGGGGGAAGAGAGGTGGGATGAGGTTCAGAAAGGGAAGGAAAGGGTGAGAGGGTCGGGGTGCAGGAGAAGGGGGAGGGGAGGGGAGATGGGGTGAAGGAGAGGGGAGGGGGAAGGGAGGTGGGATGGGGTGCAGGTGGAGAGGGGACATGGCAGGTCATGGGGGAAAGGGACATGGGGGGAGGGGACATGAGATGAAGGAGGGGGAAGGTGGGATGGGGGTGCAGGAGGAGAGGCGAGGGGTGACAGGGAGGGGAGGGGAGATGGGGTGAAGGAGGGGAGGAGACACAATTTGGGGGAGGCAGGTGGGGGTGCAGGAAGGGAGAGGGCAGAGGAAGAAGGGGAGGGGGCCCAAAGAGGTGGGATGGGGGGGCGAACAGGAGGGGAGAGGTTGGAGAGCCTGGACAAGGCCGGGTGGGTGAACGGATATTTCCCGCTGGCCTCTGGGTGCGTCCTGTATGAGCTGGGCTCTACAATCTCTTGGCGTGTGCTGTGCGTGTGCGTGTTCCTGGTGTGCACTGGGCGTGGCTGGGGCATGCGGTCAATGCAGGTGCATCGTGCGAGCACCGGGAGCCCGTGGCTCACGTCTATCGCGCGTGTAGCAGGAGCCCAGGGGATCCGCCCCTCCGTGGGGGAACAAGCTGTGTGAACACAGAGGGCCTGTGGGTCCAGCAGGCCAAGGCCTAACTCCATCCAGTGGCTGGAAGTTGAAGCTGGACGAAGCCAGACTGGAAATGAGGTGTCAGTTTTGAACAGGGAGGGGAATTCAGCCTTGGAACAAGTCACCCCAGGTCCTGGTGGATTCTCCAGCCGTGGTGAGTTTTAAATCACATGGAAAAGACATGGTCTAGTTCAAACGGGAATGACTCCGGGGGCGTCCTGTGGGCTGCATCATACAGGACTGGCTGATCACAGGGAGCCCTGCTGGCCTGAGACACTAGGAAGTTTTGAATTGTGCACCGTATGTGCTCATGCGTGTGTCATGCGTGTGCATCACATGCATGCACTGTGCTTGTGTCTCCTCGGTGTGCCTCGCGTCTGCATTCACTGTGTTTGTGTCTCATGGGTGTGCATCGTCTGTGCCTGCACCGTGTTTGTGTCTCGTGTGTATGTGTGTGGTGCACGTGCATACACCGTGTTTGTGTCTCGTGTGTATGTGTGTCGTGCACGTGCATGCACCGTGTTTGTGAGTCGTGTGTATGTGTGTCGCGCACGTGCATGCACCGTGTTTGTGTCTCGTGTGTATGTGTGTCGTGCACGTGCCTGCACCGTGTTTGTGTCTCGTGTGTATGTGTGTCGTCCACGTGCATGCACCGTATTTGTGAGTCGTGTGTATGTGTGTCACGCACGTGCCTGCACCGTGTTTGTGGGTTGTGTGTATGTGTCATGCACGTGCATGCACCGTGTTTGTGTCTCGTGTGTATGTGTGTCACACACGTGCATGCACCGTGTTTGTGTTTCGTGTGTATGTGTGTCACACACGTGCATGCACCGTGTTTGTGAGTCGTGTGTATGTGTGTCACGCACGGGGCACCATGTTTGTGTCTCGTGTGTATGTGTGTCGTGCACGTGCATGCACCGTGTTTGTGTCTCGTGTATGTGTGTCGTGCACGGCATGCACCGTGTTTGTGTTTCGTGTGTATGTGTGTCGGCACGCATACACCGTGTTTGTGAGTCGTGTGTATGTGTGTCGGCACGCTGCACCGTGTTTGTGAGTCGTGTGTATGTGTGTGGTGCACGGCATACACCGTGTTTGTGTCTCGTGTGTATGTGTGTCGGCACGCATGCACCGTGTTTGTGAGTCGGTGTATGTGTGTCGCGACGTGCATCACCGTGTTTGTGTCTCGTGTGTATGTGTGTCGTGACATGCCTGCACCGTGTTTGTGTCTCGTGTGTATGTGTGTCGTCCACGTGCATGCACCGTATTTGTGAGTCGTGTGTATGTGTGTCACGCACGTGCCTGCACCGTGTTTGTGGGTTGTGTGTATGTGTCATGCACGTGCATGCACCGTGTTTGTGTCTCGTGTGTATGTGTGTCACACACGTGCATGCACCGTGTTTGTGTTTCGTGTGTATGTGTGTCACACACGTGCATGCACCGTGTTTGTGAGTCGTGTGTATGTGTGTCACGCACGTGCGTGCACCGTGTTTGTGTCTCGTGTGTATGTGTGTCGTGCACGTGCATGCACCGTGTTTGTGTCTCGTGTGTATGTGTGTCGTGCACGTGCATGCACCGTGTTTGTGTTTCGTGTGTATGTGTGTCACGCACGTGCATGCACCGTGTTTGTGAGTCGTGTGTATGTGTGTCGTGCACGTGCGTGCACCGTGTTTGTGAGTCGTGTGTATGTGTGTCGTGCACGTGCATACACCGTGTTTGTGTCTCGTGTGTATGTGTGTCGTGCACGTGCATACACCGTGTTTGTGAGTCGTGTGTATGTGTGTCGTGCACGTGCATGCACCGTGTTTGTGTCTCGTGTGTATGTGTGTCGTGCACGTGCATACACCGTGTTTGTGAGTCGTGTGTATGTGTGTCGTGCACGTGCATGCATCGTGTTTGTGGGTCGTGTGTATGTGTGTGGTGACGGATAATTTTTTTGTGTAGTGTGTGTGAGGTGTTTTGAGTCGTGTGTATGTGTGTGTAGTTTTGTATCGGTGTATGTTAATGTGTTTGTGGTGTATGTGTGTTAGATAATGTTTGTGAGTTGTGTGTATGTGTGTGGTGAGATAAGTGTTTGTGTTCGTGTGTATGTGTGTGGTGATATAAGTGTTTGTGGGTGGTGATGTGTGTCTGAGTGGTAGTGTTTGTGAGTCGTGTGTATGTGTGTTGAGGTAGTGTTTGTGAGTCGTGTGTATGTGTTAGAGTGTGAGTGTTTGTGGGTCATGTGTATGTGTGTCGTGCACGTGCGTGCACCGTGTTTGTGAGTTGTGTGTATGTGTGTGGTGCACGTGCATACACCGTGTTTGTGGGTCGTGTTTATGTGTGTCGTGCACGTGCATACACCGTGTTTGTGTCTCGTGTGTATGTGTGTCGTGCACGTGCGTGCACCGTGTTTGTGTCTCGTGTGTATGTGTGTGGTGCACGTGCATGCACCGTGTTTGTGAGTCGTGTGTATGTGTGTCACGCACGTGCATGCACCGTGTTTGTGTCTCGTGTGTATGTGTGTCGTGCACGTGCGTGCACCGTGTTTGTGGGTCGTGTGTATGTGTGTCGTGCACGTGCATACACCGTGTTTGTGTCTCGTGTGTGCATCCTGTGTGCCAGGCACCTGCATGAAGTGCGTGCATATGCAAGATGTGTCTGCTGTGTGCGTCCTCTGCATGCATCGCATGTGTCGGGCCTGTGCCCCGTATGTGCGCCATGCGTGTGCATCACATGCGCTGGGAGCGGGTGGCGGCGTGCGGCTGTGCAGGGACGGGGACGCCAGACGCTGTGCCGCAGCAGCCACTGCCTCCCCCCCCCCCCCCCGGGCTCCCCCACCCGCCTCCAGCTCCGGTCGCCATGCCAACGGGAATGCTCGGAGCCGGCTGTGTGCTGTGCTGCGGTGCACTTTGAGGGCGCCGCCCCCACCCCCTCCGCTGCATGACAGGCTGTGGGGCCTCCCCCCACCAGCCCCCGCAAAACCCCCTGCGTTCTAGAGCAAGGTGCTAGCAAACCCCAGCGTTCTGGAGCGAGGCAGGGAAATACAGCCGTGCTCTCCAGCAACGGGCCTCGCGTCCGCAGCGCTCTGGTCCCATAGGTCCCGATGCTGCATCGCTCTAGAACAATAGACCCCAATGACACCGCGCTCCAGAACAATAGATCCCGGAGCAAGATGGCCCAATCCCGCAGCGCTCTAGAGCGAGGTGCCCAATCCTGCAGCACTCTAGAACAAAACGTCCCCATACCCACTGTGCTCTAGAACAATATATCCTAATACCACGGCACTCCAGAACAATAGACCCCAAAACTGCAGCGCTCTGGAGCAAGATATCACAATGCCACGTCCCTCTACAGCAATCTATCCCAATCCCGCCACGCTCTAGAGCGAGCTACCCAAACCGGCAGCACTCGAGAACAATAGATGCCAATGCTGCGGCACGCTAGCGTAAGATACTGTGGTGCTCTAGATTCTAGAACATTAGAGCCCAATACTGCAGCACGCTAGAGCAAGATACCCCAATACCGCACCGCTCTAGAATATATTCTGATCCTGCGGCGCTCTAGAGCAGGATATCCACTCCCGCCACACTCTAGAACAATAGAGGCCCAAAAACCCAGCACTCTAGAGCAAGATATCACAATGTCACCTTGCTCTAGAGCAATAGATCCTAGCCCCGCGGTGCGCTAACACAAGACCTGTGCACTCATGTGCAAAATAATGTAATTTGCAAGTACCTGGAGGATGAAGGAGTGATCACCAGCAGCCAGCGTGGATTTCCCAAGAACAAATCATGCCAAAGCAGCTTGATTTCCTTCTTTGGTGGGGTACCTGATTTGGTGGATGGGGGGAATGCAGTGGACATAATATCCCTGGACTTCAGCAAGGCTTTGGACACAGGCCCACAAGACATTCTGCTACGTAAGGTGGAGAAATGCGGGCTTGACAGAACTACCATTAAGTGGATACAGACTTGCTTAGACAACCGCAAGCAAAGAGTAACGGTTAATGGAGTGATGTCCGATGGGAGGGAGGTCTCACGTGGGGTTCGACAGGGATCTGTTCTGGGCCCAGTGTTGTTTAACATCTTCATTAATGCCCTGGCTGTGGGAATAGAGAGCAGACTAATCAAATCTGCAGATGACACAAAGCTGGGGGGGGTTGCCAACACTTTGGAAGGTCAAGCTAAAATTCAGAGGGATCTTGGTATACTGGAGAACTGGTCTCTAGACAAAACGAAACTCAACAAAGACAGACGTAAGGTGCTGCCCTTCTGGAAGAAAAACCAAATGCATAAGTCCAGGATGGGGGCTAACTGGCTTGGCAGCAGCATTGCTGAGAAGGATTGGGGAGTTGTGGTGGATCACACCCTCAGCATGAGTCAGCAATCCGATGCCTTTGCAAAAAAACCCACAAAAGCAAAGGCAACGTTAGGCTGCATTAACAGAGGTGCAGCATGCGAGCCACGGGTGGTGAGAGCACCGCTCTGCTCAGCGCTGGGCAGGCCGGGAGTGCTGTGTCCAGCTCCAGCCACCGCTGTGCAGAAAGGATGTGGAGAAACTGGAAAAAAGGATCCAGAGGCAAGCGACAACGATGATCAAAGTGGGGGGGGTGGAATGCAGCCACGTGAGCAAAGGCTGAAAGAACTGGGTCTGTTTCATTTGGGAAAGAGGAGGTGAAAGGGGGACATGACAGCGGTCTTCAAATACTTGAAAGGCTGCCATAAAAAAGAGGGAGAAAAGTGCTCTCTCTGGCACCAGAGGGCAGGACAGAGGCCTTGGGTTCCAACTACAGCAGAGCAGATTTAGATTAAATCTCAGGACAAACTTCCGACCCATCAGAACAGAAGTTTTCAAAGGGGGGCTGGAGCCACCTGACCGGGATGGTTTAGACCCAACAAATCCTGCATCTCAGCCGGGGGTTAGACGAGACGACCCTTGCGGCTCCTTCTGACCCCGTGGTTCTGTGATTCTGAGCGATCCCGAACCCACGTCACTCTAGCGCACGGGGTCACAATCCTCAGTGCTCTCAAGTGCAAGATCCCAACACGACAGGGTTTTAGAGCAAGGTATCCCAATCCCGCGGCGCTCCAGAGCAGGGGTTCTCAAAGTGCATTGCTCCGCGACCCCCTTCTGACAACAACAATTCCTATACTATCCTAGGAGGGAGCACCAAAGCCTGAGCCCACCTGAGCCTTGCTACCCTGGGGGAGGAGGGGGGGGAGCCAAAGCCCAAAGCCTTCAGCCCCAGGCAGGGGGCCTGTAACCTGAGCCCCACCACCCAGGGCTGAAGCCCTGGGGCTTTGTGGGGCTCTGGCTTCAGCCCCAGGCCCCAGCAAGTCTAACGCCCTACCTGGCAACCCTATTAAAACGGGGTCACGACCCACGCTGGGGGCCCAACTCACAGTTGGAGAGCCGCTGCTCTAGAACAAGGGATCCCAATAACGCAGCACTCGAGAACAGGGGATCCCAGTGTCACGGCGCTCTAGAGCAATGTACCCCAATACCACGGCGTTCTGGAGGAATCGAGCCAAATAATGGGCCATTCTAGAGCCAGCCCCACATGCCACTGCACTGCGGGGCTCTGGAGCCAGGCATGTGCACCTTGAACTCGGCGCCATTCTAGAGCAATGCCATAAATCCTGCATGCCCTCTCGAGCAGGGGTTCTCAAGCCATGGGCCAGGGGGTCCCGGGGTTGGCTGGGCTCAGCTCTGGGCATTGGGGCCTAGTGCACGGGATCCCAGCGCCGCTCAGGTACCCGGCTGGGCCCAATTTGAGTGTTTCATGCTGCCCCTCCCCCAAGGTGCTGGGGCGTGGGGGTGTTCCTCATCCGGGGGGGAGGCGGGGGGTGCAGGCCAATACCCGGAGTGGGAAGACGAGCCACAGGAGCTGCTGGTGTCACGTTCTCCAGCAAGTACCGGCCACCTCCAATGTAACCCCCACAGCCAGCTGATGCGCCCCATCTCCCATACCCCCATCCTGCTCTCTCCATCCCCCCACCCCCAGGATACCTGCTTCCCCACAGCTGGGCAACTCCCCCTCTGTCATACATCCAGATCTTCCCCCGCTACCCCCCAAACCCTTCTGCCCCCCACCTCCTTCCCTCCAGCCCCCACCCCAAACCCCTCCACGCGGATTGGCCCTCATGAGACTCCATGGGGCTCAGACCAAGGGGGCCCATCTTGCCCGGCGGCCCGTCTCCACCGCAGCCAGGGGCTGATCAGCGCCTATGTGTGTGTGTGTGTCTGTCTGTGTGTCTGTGTCCCCCCCCCCCCCCCCCCCAGCAATAGCCAGGCTCTCTGGCAGGTCACCATGGCGACCGTTAACCCCTGCTGCGCTGGTCGGCGGCCAGCCTCTGCCCGCTGGCGCCCGGTCAGCTGCCAGCGCCTGCGCTCCCCTCCCCCACCCTCCAGCCAGGCACAGAGAGAGGGGCAGAGCTGGGGGGGGGAGGGAGTGGATGGATGGGTGGGGGGGGTGGATGGAGGGAGGGAGGGAGGGGTAAGAGGGTGGGGGGTAAGGGAGTGGATGGATGGTGGGGGTGGGGGTGGACGGATGGGGGGAGGGGTAAGGGAGTGGATGGGTGGGTGGATGGATGGACAGAGGAGGGGTATGGGAGTGGATGGATGGGTTGGGGGGTGGATGGATGGAGGGAGGGAGGGAGATGGGAGTGGATGGATGAAGGGAGGGAGATATGGGGGGGGGGTGTATGAATGGAAGGATAGCTCAGTGGTTTGAGCATTGGCCTGCTAAACCCAGGGTTGTGAGTTTCAATCCTTGAGGGGGCCATTTAGGGATCTGGGGCAAAAAGTGGGGATTGGTCCTACTTTGAGCAGGGGGTTGGACTAGACACCTCCTGAGGTCCCTTCCAACCCTGATATTCTATGATTCTATGGAGGGGGGGACATGGGGGGTGGACGGACGGAGGGAGATGGGGGAGCGTATGGTTGCATGGAGGGAAATGTTGGGGGGGTGGAGGGAGGGTTATGGGAGTGGGTGGATGGATGAGATGCGAGGGGTTATGGATAGGCGGGTTGGAGATGTATGGGGGAGTGGGGTGGGGTGTGGATGTATGGAGAGAAGGAGATGGAGGTGGTGGATGGATGGAGATAGAGGGGTGCATGGATGGAGGGTGGGAGATGGGGGGTGAATGGATGTACGGGGGAACAGCCAGACACGGGAGGTGTTTGAAATAAAGTTTATTGCAGTCTCTCAGTCCTATGTACATATGGTACAGAGTAAATAAGGGGGTGGGTTGGCCCCAGGCCACACCCCCCCAGCACGGGGAGGGGGGAAGACTATATGACAATAAAAAGGGATCTCTCCTTAGTTACGGGTGTAGTATGCATGTCCCCCCATCCCACCCCCCAGGCTAAGAACCTTCCTCCCCCCCCGTCACAGATACCAGCCGGATTCCCCCCCCCACGCAGTAGGTGTCACCACACCTGTGGGGAATTCCTCCCCCCACTATCTGCTCCCCTGTGTGTTAACTCCTGCACTGCCAGGATCCCCCATTGCTTCAGGGTGTAGGGGGAGGGTGGTGGTGCTATTTTTAACCCTACAATTCTCCCCCCCCCGCCCGCATTCCTGGTGAGGGGGGGATGGAGCTATATGGTTAACCCTTTCATCACTGCCTCCCCCCCATTCAAACTGATTGGAGAGGGGGGGATGTAGCTAGTTAGCTTTCATTCCCCCCCCCCCCATATGCCATGGGCGGAGGGACCATTTCTGATGCTAGATTTTTAACCCTTTCTTTGCCACCGGCTCCCAAGGGTGGGGGTGCCATGACCTTCCTCCTCGACCCCCCTTTGCCAGGTCTAAGAGCTGAGGGGTCCCCTGATCCCCAGGATCATTCAAGAACAGAAGGTGGGATTTCTACGGGTGGAGGAAGGAGATTTCTGGCCCTTTAAGTGGTCGGGGGCAAAAGTTGGTGTCTCCCGCTCCCTGAGGGTATGCAAACTCCCCCCCGCTTCTGATCTATCCCCTAGACCTCACTCCCCTACCTGAACTGGAGGTAGAACCCAAGCCCCCTGCTTTGACCACTAGACCCCACTCCCCTCTCAGAGCCAAGGATAGAACCCAGGAGTCCTGGCTCCCAGCCCCCTCCCCACTCTGACGACTAGACCCCACTCCCCTCTCAGAGCCAAGGATAGAACCCAGGAGTCCTGACTCCCAGCCCCCTCCCCACTCTGGGCTAGACCCCACTCCCCTCTCAGAGCAAGGATAGAACCAGGAGTTCCCACCCCTCCCCACTCTAGACCCCACTCCCCTCTCAGAGCCAAGGATAGAACCCAGGAGTCCTGACTCCCAGCCCCCTCCCCACTCTGACGACTAGACCCCACTCCCCTCTCAGAGCCAAGGATAGAACCCAGGAGTCCTGGCTCCCAGCCCCCTCCCCACTCTGACGACTAGACCCCACTCCCCTCTCAGAGCCAAGGATAGAACCCAGGAGTCCTGGCTCCCAGCCCCCTCCCCACTCTGACGACTAGACCCCACTCCCCTCTCAGAGCCAAGGATAGAACCCAGGAGTCCTGGCTCCCAGCCCCTCTGCTCTAACCACTAGCCCCCACCCCCCTCCCAGAACTGGGTCCCCCCAAGCAGATACCGCCCTCTGTTGGATGCCACAAGAGCAGCTCCTCTGCATGTAAGAGTCCCAACATCATGACAAGAGATGAGGAGGGTTTTTCTCCTTTAACTCCCTGGCTGGGAGGCACTGCCATGGGGAAGCTCGCAACACTGGAGCCTCCCCAGCTGGGGGCACTGCCCGTGGGGAAGCTCGCAGAGCCAGGTACAGATGACCTTGTCAAAGGAGCCCACAAAAATACCCACACGGGACGGGGACCGACCAGTACCAACCAAGTTCACAGCAAGAGTCCTGGGTCCTGGCAGGACCCAGCCAGCAGAAGGTGCCCAAACCCAGCTGTGAACCAGTTCCCTGCACTGATCCATCCCTGAAGCACCAGGTATCTATTACCTATCCCTTTTCTTCCCTCCCTCATCTCCCTCAACCACCTTCCCTTCATTCTCACGTTTCCCATCCCCTATTTTCCCTTCCTCCATCTCTCCACTGGCATCCTTCTCCTCCTCCGACTATATTGGCTCCTTCCTCATCTCTGCATGGATGGAGACACCTTCCACCTCTACAGACACAAACACAGTCACCGCGGCAAAAGAACTGCAGCCTGAGATACACCCCAGCGGGCGGAGGTGGCTAAAGGAGAAGGGAACTAACAGAGAAAGAACAAAAGAGGGTAGAGAAAGGAAGAGGAAAACAAAAGGGGAGGAAAAGAACCCTGTAAATGGACATATAAAGAAAGTCAATAGAGAAGAAGTGCAGAGAAATGGACAAAAGAAGGACTGGATGAAAGAGGGCAGAGAGAGGAAGGAATCAAAGAAAACTTGCAAATGGAAATTGAAAGAAAAAAGGAACCAAAGAAAGAGGGCAGAGAGAGGAAGAAGGAAAGAGCCGGGAAACGGAAAAGAAAAAAGGGGGGCGAGACAGGAAGAATGGAAGGAGAAAGCAAATCGAAAGAAAGGAAAGAGCAAAGCAGAGCCTGGGGGCAGCTGGCCTGAAGCTGGGCTAACAGTGGCCGTTGCTGGGCCGGGTTAATGCACGGCGCGGTCATGCCCACGCTTGCTAAGAAAAGGGCTTCGTCCTCCGTTCTTCGGCGGAGGGAAGACAAAGAGACGGGGCCCCGATCTGGCGGTCGAGGGGGGAGCGGGTCTCTGAGGGCGAGCTGCTGGCAGCCAGCCGCCGCGGTTGCTTTAGCCGGACCTTGGTGTCTATATTTCCAGCTCCCCTTGATTCATCTCTCTGGGTCGGGTTGCTTCCGAGGGAAGCAAGTGGCCTGGGGCCCTTCTCTGTGTCCCCATTTGCTGATGCGGTTCCCCCATCTGGTTCATTTGGAAAACAGCAAAGAGGGCGGAGGAGCCATTTCCTCTCAGGATCTGCGGGGGGGGAAGGGGCTGGCATGGCAACAAGGAAAATGGCCGACAAGTGACTTCCTGTCAGGGTCGGCCATTCTGGAACTGAGGAAAATGGCGTTAGGAGCCGTTTCTTCTCAGGATCCATACCAAGGGGAGCTGGTGCAATGGCAACCAGAATGGCAGATGGGCAGCTTCCTAACCGGGGTTGGCCATTGTGGGGCAAAAAAGATGGCAGAGGAGCCACTTCCTGTCAGGATCTGGGAGGAAGGGATTGGAGCAGGGACAGAGAAAATGGTGGAGGGGTGACTTCGTGTTAGGAACTGGCCCTTGTGGGGACAAAAAGAGTATCTGGGGTTGGCCCGATGATAGCAAACAAAATGGCTGGCAGGTGGCTTCCTGTTGGGAATCCCGGCACCTTCCTGTGGCAACCAAAATGGCCGATGGGGTGACTTCCTGTCACGAATGCCGCCAAAGTGGCCAAATGGGGGAGGCCTCCAGGGACGGTGCAGAGGGAGCGAGAAAGGGGGGTCAAGGAGAGGTTTCAGTCCAGTAGCACCCAGTCTGTGATCCACGGGTGGGCCCCCTCTGCACAGTCTCTGGGGTGGGGGGCGGCTGGCAGGCCCCGGTGGGAGACGGTCGGGGGTGGGGGGGCTGGCCTAGCAGGGCGAGGTGGATATGTGCATGTGCTCGGGGTACTTGATAGCGGGGGGGTAATTCTGGGTCATCTGGATGGAGACGTCGCTGGAGATGTCGGAGGGGCTGCGCCCACGGTGCCACACCTCCGGGTGCAGGAACTGGCCCGAGTAGTCGGAGCAGTCGCTCAGGCGCGGGCGGTAGAAGGCTGGGTGGGGGCGGTACATCTCCTCCTCCGCGTAGCGCTTGGTGAACAGGTACACGGACATCACGCCGGCACCCTGCAGGAGGTGTGGGGGGAAGAGTGAGTGGAAGGGGAGGGAATGGGACTGCGGAACCCTACTCCCCTCCCTGGCTCTCCCCCCCAGAGAGTCCTGGCTCTCCCCCCTCCCCCCGCCAGCCACTAGATCCCATTCCCCCGGCCCAAGCCGCGGATAGAACCCAGGAGTCCTGGCTCCCAGCCCCCCTCCTCTAAGCACTACAGCCCTCTCTCCTCCCAGAGCCAGGCATAGAACCCAGGAGTCCTGGCTCCCAGCCCTCCTGCTCTAACCACTAGACCTCCCTCCCCTCCCCTCCCTTCCCAATTGGGCCCATCTATCTCATCTATTTTAAGGACTCCACAGTTTGTAAATTGACGTCAGAGACTTTCTAGGCTCCCCCAATAATTCTCACCACTGCCCGCTGCTGGATAGATTAGAACTTCCCCCCCTCCGTGTGTCACAGCCACCATACTGTGCCAGCAGAGGGGGATTCTCCGTTAGTTCAGCCGGCAGAATCAGGGAAAAGGGGTTTCAAGTTCTACCCCAGGGGGCAGCACAGAGCCAGCCAGGAATCTCCAGGGCCCCGGGGAGGAGGGGTTGGGATGAGGTGGGGCAAGGTCCAAACCTCTTTGAGGAGGAAGGAGGAGGCTGCGAAGGCGAAGGACCAGCCGTAGCGATAGTGGAAATATTGCTCTGACCCGCTGGGCCGATTCATCACCTCGTCATTGATGCTGGAGATGTAGAGAACTAACCCCACCACGAGAGACAGGCCTGCAAGAGACAGGGCCAACAATAAAGCTGCTGGGGGCTGTTTAGACAGGGACCCCTCGCCCGGCGCTGAGATGTGACCTCCTCTGGGGTGGGGCGTGGGGTCTGCTTATACAGGGACCCCTCGCCTAGCACTGAGAAGCAGCATCTCTGGGGTGGGGCGCAAGGGCTTTTTATACAGGGACCCCTCGCCCAGCTCTGAGATGCGGCTGCCTCTGGGGTGAGGTATGGGGTCTGCTTATACAGGGACTCCTTGGCCGGTGCTGAGATGCAGCTGCCTCTGGGGTGGGGCTGGAGTCTGTTTACACAAGGACCATAAAAATGTCAGGATGGAAGGGACCTCGAGGGGTCATCTAATCCAGCCCCCTGCACTGATGCCAGACCAAGTAAACCTAGACCAGCGCTGACCGGGGTCTGTCCAACCTGTTCTTAAAACCTCCACTGACGGAGATTCCACAGCCTCCCTCCGGACCCAATTCCAGAGCTTTCCTCCCCTTAGAGTTAGAACATTTTTCCTAATATCTAACCTACATCTCCGTTGCTGCGGATTAAGCCAACTACTTCTTGTCCCACCTCCAGCGGGGACGTAGAAAACAACTGATCACAGCCCTTTATAACAGCCCTTATGTGAAGACTGGTCTCGGGTCCCCGCCTTGGGCTTCTTTTCTCTGGACTAAACATGCCCTAGTTTTTTAAAACTTCCCTTTGACCGGGTTTCTGGCTCCCCTCTGGACAATGTCCAATCTGTGCATCTGTCAGGCGGTACCCAGAACTGGACGCAGCCGAGGTCTCCACCAGCACCGAGCAGAGCGGGACAATCACCTCCCGCGTCTTACGTCCGACACTCCTCTTACCCCGCCCCAGAAGGACAGTTGCTTTTTTGGCACCTGCGTTGTTGCCTCATATTCAGTTCATGACCCATTTTAACCTCCCTGCCCCCTTCCAGCCATCCGACCCCCTAGCCGGCTAGGCCCCCTTTGGTAGCCGTGCTTTGGATTTGTCCTTCCCAAGTGATGGACTTTGGCCCTTGTCTGGATTGAATTTCATCTGGTCCATTCCAGACCACGTCCAGGTCGTTTTGAACGCTCCTCCAAAGGGCTTGCAACCCCGCCCGGCTTGGGGGCACCTGCCAGTTCCACTCTCTGCTCCGTAATCCGAGTCAGTCATTAAAAGAGTGACTAGTACCGGCCCCCGGGCCGACCACTGCAGGCTTCACTAGATCTGCCTCCCAAGTTATCCCTGGTAACGATGCTTAGAGTCCGGCCTTCCAACCAGTGGTGCACCGGCCCTATCGTAAATTCATCTGGAAAGAGCCACATTTCCCTAGGCTGCTAATGAGACTGTCGCGGGCCTGTGTCAAAAGCCTTGCTAAAATCAAGATCTCTCACGTCTACTGCTTCCCCCCGTCCACTTGGCCAGTAACCCTGTCAAAGCAGGAAATGAGGTGGGGTTGGCGTGATTTGTTCCCTGTAACTCCATTACCCTCCAGGTGCCCAGCAAACTGGTTCTTTCATATTTGTTCCAGTGTCTTCCTCCAGTGGGGTGTGGGGGCTGTTTATACTGGAATTCCACACCGGGTGCGGAGATGCGGCCACCTCTGGGGTGGGGCACGGGGACTGTTTATATGGGGATCCCTCGCCCAGCCCTGACATACAGCTGTTTCTGAAGTAGGGAGCTGGAGGTGTTTATAACTGGGACCCCCTCTCCTGGCACTATTCAATGGCTTCACCACACAAAAGTTTGGGATGGGAAGTGAAAGAGAATCTCACATCCAACCAGAACCTCAGGCAGGATTTCGGGAGGCGCTGACTGCTAGGGGAGAGTGCCCCCTACTGACACCCGCCCCCACTCCCTGCAGGACAGCGCCCCCTAGCGCCGCACTGGGGCATTGGGGCCAGCCCTGACTGCCAGGGGCAAGCGCCCCCTACCGAGCCCCCACACCCCGCTCCCAGGCCCCTCACCAGAAAGGATGAAGAAGATGCCAGAGACGAAGGCCAGGATGGTTCTCTGGGGCCGGATGTGACCGATGTTGCTGATGACAAAGGCCGTGAAGACAAGGAAGAGGCTGACCATGGGGAAGGGGGTGGCCGTGCGAACTGTCTCTGGGAGGGGAAGGGGGACAACGGACAGTCAGAGCACCTCCACCCCTGTCCCCCACCCCACGGGGTAGAGATCACCCTCTCTCAGACCCACCAACACTCTCCTCACCTCCTATCCCCCATGTACTCCACTCCCGCCATGGTCACACCTCCTCCCCCTTCTCCTCCTGCCCCTACAAACTCCAGCTCTACCCCACATAGGTCCCGCCGCTAACAGCTCCCAACCCCACGGAGGACCAGGGTGCCAGGTGGCTGGGCTTCATGCCGCATGCCGTCTTGCTGAGAGCTGAACACAGGGGGGCTGAGACACACCTGTGACACACCTGTGACACGGCTGCGCTCTCCTCTCCACAGCATGTGGGAGCTGACACGTTTTCTCCTCGTGCACACCCTCTTGCTCGCGCGCTCTATCCCGAAGCCCCCGGGCCAGGAGGGGCCCCTCTCAACTTACTCAAGATGTTCTCTGTGTTTTCTGTCACCAGGTTTATCTCGGGTTCCAGGAAATACTCTGATGCCACGCACCGGCCCTTCTCCCGGCCTGCAGGGGGGCAAGAGATGGCGTTACCTGGCAAAGCCCCAGCCAGGGCACTGCTCTGGGGAAACTCACAGCACCAAGGAGTCACCAGCCAGGGCAGTGCGACGGGGATACAAAGAGGCCCTGGCCCGGCGCATGGCCAGGGAAAGCTCGCCACGCGGGGCTCGTACCAGCGAAGAAGCAGACCCTCCAGAGCCCGGCGTGCAGCGCCATCCTGATCTCGGTGGTCTGGTTCTGCTGCAGAACGATGCCCTCCTCCATGTAGAGCCAGTAGTCGGTGCTGACCGCAATGCCGACCAGCAGCAGCCCGCACGCCCCGAACACGCTACTGAGCAGCGTGAGCGCGCGGCTGCTGCAGTTACTCATCCTAAGGGACGGAGGGCGCCACACACAGCACACGGACCTGGCCGGGGAGATAGAAACAGGCTCAGCAGCCCCTGCCAGACACCCCCCCCCCCCGCAGCTCTAACCACTGGACCCCACTCCCCTCCCAGAGCCCGGGACGGAACCCCGGAGTCCTGGCTCCCAGTTAATCTGCACTCCCCACAGCCCAGCACCCCCCACTGAGCCCCCTGCCCTGCTCCCCGCAGCCCAGCACCCCCTAGCCTTGCCCTGGGGCAGTGGGGCCAGCCCTGACGGTGAGTTGGATGTAGGGGCAGGTCTATGGGGCTCAGCCGCACAGCAGCCCGGGAGTCCCCTGGCCCCAGCACCTGGCCCAGGCAGAGAAGGGTCCCACTCGCCAGGGGCTGGGCTGCCCCCCTGGGTCCTGCATCACCGACGCACGGACAGGGCTTAATTCAGCTGGAGCTGTCCGGAGCAGGGCTCTGGGAAATATTTTCAAGCCCCCTGGAGTTTTCATAGCATGTGGGGGGGGGGGGAGGGTCCCTCTCTGGGAAATATTCTATGAGAGTTTAAACCCTGTGCACAGGATCTGTTAATATAACCCCATCATAACAAACCAGCGCTGCTGAGAGATCCTACAATAACAAACCAGCGTGGACAGCCCCAGCACCTCAGAGACCCGCCCCGACGAGCCAGCGCTCCTGAGAGACCCTACAATAACAAACCAGTGTGGACAGCCCCAGCACCTCAGAGACCCACCCCGACAAGCCAGCGCTCCTGAGAGACCCTACAATAACAAACCAGCGTGGACAGCACCTCAGAGACCCACCCCGACGAGCCAGCGCTCCTGAGAGACCCTACAATAACAAACCAGCGTGGACAGCCCCAGCACCTCAGAGACCCCACCAAAACAAGCCAGCGCTCCGGAGAGACCCTACAGGAACAAGCCGGCAGAGACAGACACAGCGACTGACAGACCCTACCATGACAAGCCAGCTCTCCTAAGACACCCTACCTACCTCCATCTAGCACCGTAGGGGCTCGCCCCCCCACCCCCCTGGTACCATATGGGCTCACCCCGCACCCCCACCATCTCCTCCCCCAGTCCCGTCTGGGCTCCCCCGCCCCACCACTGCATAGTAGCTGGTCTCAGAAACACACTGACTGTGTAGCAAGCAGCCAAACAGCCCACAACACAACTAACGCAAACACAGCGTACCCAAGGACATCCCACCTAAAGACACACTAGGCCCACACCCACCCACCGCAAAACAGCCACCAGTACACACAACCCACACACTAGTGCAATGCACAAACACAGATCACTCAGAAGCACATATTAGCACACACTCACACTCAGTAACAACCGGCACCAGCGCAACACACACACACACACACACACACACGTACAGAGGGGCACTAAGGAAATCACACAGACAACACTGACAGTACTGAAAACCACACACGAATGGGCACTCAGCAAAAACGGGAACAACCAAACAAAATGTGTGTGCACACCCGCGCACACCTAGACGCACACGCAAAACTACACAATGCGCTCAACACAACATTTCCACACACGCACACACACACACACAGACCCTCAGAGAGCGGGGCTCATCACCCCCAGCAGGGGGCAACAGGGACACACACAGAGCAGGGCCCAGCCCCTCCAGCAGAGGGCAGCAGGGACACACACACACACACACACACACACACACACACTGTACTGTTCACAACAGCAGCAAACAATTCTCACACACCTACAGGGGCACGTACCCTAGCACAACTCCTCGACCAAACACACACACACACCCCACACACAATATTCTGTACACAACAACGTCTCCAAATAAGGCATGTGCATACACACAGGGGCACTAATGAATATCACATACGCTAATACAACACTCACTGCCACACACACACAGAGACACCCTCCCTCCGGCCTCGCTCTGGAAAATGGGTTGGGAAAATGAAACAACAACTGAGGCCAGAAGTCACCAGCTAGCTCCAGAGGATAGAGGAGAGTACAGCAGGACGCGGGGACACACACACACACACACACACACACACACACACACCAGGGGGCAGCACCACTCTCTCTCCCTCACACAATCTCATGTACGTATGTACATACACACACAGTGTTCTCTCACTGACATTCACACCAGGTGTATGTACACACACACACACACACACAGTCTCTCTCTCTCTCTCATACACACCCAGTGTAGGTACACCCCTCCTGGTGTATCCCCCCCCCTCTCTCTCTCACACACACACACACACACAGTGTACATATACCACCACCCCTACCTGGTGTATCCCCCTCCCACACATGGTGTACATACACACACACACACCCCACATGGTGTACTCACACAAACACACACATATACAAAGTACACACACACGGTGTACATACACATACACATACTGTATCCTCCCACATACGAATATGCACACAATGAGTACACACAATCCGTGAACCTCTCTGTCACACACACACAATGTACACACATGGTGTATGCACACACAAATGGTGTACACACACACACACGGTTTACCTCTCTCTCTCTCACACACACACACAATGTACACACACACAGTGTACTCTCCACACACACACACACACGATGTACACACACATGGTGTACACACACACAAATGGTGTACACACACATACGGTTTACCTCTCTCTCTCTCACACACACACACAATGTACACACACACACACACACGATGTACACACACATGGTGTACGCACACACAAATGGTGCACACACACACACACAATGTACACACACACACACACGATGTACATACACATGGTGTACACACACACAAATGGTGTACACACACACACACACGGTTTACCTCTCTCTCACACATACACACACACGGTGTACGCACACACAAACGGTGTACGTACACACACACCCGGTGCACGTCCACCCCGCACCCCCGGGGCTCACCTTGCCCTCACTCCCGGGGGCGCTGGCCGGTCGGCGGCCCCCACATGCTCTGCCCCCGCCGCTCCGCTCCTGCGCCGGCCTCAGACCCTCCGGTTGCGGCGCCCCGGGCCCCGGAGAGCCATGGGCGGGGGGGGGGGGGTTCTCCTCCGGGAGCCGCAGCAGCGGGGGAAGGAGCCGGAGACCCGGGCGGGGGGATGCAGCAGTGGGGGAGGGGGGGCAGAAGGGACCAGGGCCCGGCGGAGGGATGCGGCGGGGGGGAGGAGGGGGAAAGAGGGAAGGAGACAGGAGCCCGGCGGACGGATGCGGCGGGGGGGGGAGGGAGAGGGAAGGGGACAAAGATCCGGGCGGAGGGATGCAGCGATCTGGGAGGAGGGATGCAGCAGGGGGGGGGGGGGGCAGAAGGGGCCCGGCGGGGGGGATTTTTTTTGGGGGGGGGAGAGAAGGAGAGGACAGGGGCCCGGGGAGGGGGAGGTGCGAGGGGGGGGGGGAAGGGACAGGGGCCCAGCGGAAGGATGCGGCGGGGGGGGGGAAGGGAACAGGAGCCCGGTGCGGGGATGCGGGCTGCGGGGGGGAGGACAGTGGCCAGGCGGGGCGGGGGAGAGAACAGGGGCTTGGTGGGGGGATGTGGCGGTGGGGGGAAGAGGGAAGAGGACAGGGGCCCGGTGCGGGGATGCGGGCTGGGGGGGGGGAACAGTGGCCAGGCGGGGGGATGCTGAGGGGGGGACCAAGGGAGCGAAAACAAGCTGCGCTGGAGGACGAGGGTGCAGGGATGTGGGGGGGGGGTCGGGCTGGCTCCGGTCGGATCGCGGGGCTGGACCGGGCTGGACCGGGCCGGCCGCTCTGGAAAACGGCTCCGCTCTCGCTGCTGGAGAATCCACGGGAGCTTCCCCCCCACCCCTCCCGCGCCGCGGACACCGTGATGTCACGGGCCCCGCGCTTAAAGGGACAGACCCGCCCCCCCCAGCCTCCATCCCCCCCCCCCAGCCCCTTCCCCCAGCCTCCAGCCCCTTCCCCCAGCCTCCAGCCCCTTCCCCCCCAGCCCCTTCCCCCAGTCCCTCCTCCAGCCTCCAGCCCCTTCCCCCACAGCTTCCAATCCCTCCCCCACCCCTCCTACCCAGCCCCTTCCCCCCCAGCCTCCAGCCCCTCCCCCCAGCCTCCAGCCCTTCCCCCATCAGTCCCCAGCCCTTTCCCCGCAGCCTCAAGCCCCTTCCCCCGCCAGCCTCCAACCCCTCTCCCCACCCCCTCCCCCCACAGCCCCCAGCCCTTTGCTCCTTTCTTCCTTCACTCACGTCCTTCCTCTTTGTTTCTTCCTTTCTCATTCCTTCCTTCCTTTTCCTAACCCCCCTTCCGCTCATTTCCTCCCCACTCAGACACTGCTCGGTCTGGCTCCCGGGCTCCTTCCTTCCTTCTTTCCTTCCTTTCTCTCATTTCTTTTCCAGTCCCTTGTTCCGGGCTCTGGGGCTCGACTCCTGGTTTCTCTTTCAGGGACGGCTTCGCTTTTTCTTTCTTTCTTAGTCACCCCCCCCCCCCCCCCCCAGACCGACAGCGGGACAGTCCCCTGCCTGGGAACATTTTTAAAATAGGGGGGGTGGGGGCTGGGAGCCAGGACTCCTGGGTTCTGTCCCCAGCTCTGGGAGGGGATCAGGGTCTAGTGGTTGGGGGTGGGGGCTGGGAGCCAGGACTCCTGGGTTCTGTCCCCAGCTCTGGGAGGGGATCAGGGTCTAGTGGTTGTGTGTGGGCGGGGGGGGACTGGGAGCCAGGACTCCTGGGTTCCATCCCCCAAGCTCTGGGGCACACAAAGATGTTTTCCCTTGGATTTGCTTTGAATTCACCTGTTGGGATTATCCCCCCCCCCCCCCCCCGCGTAGCCCCTTCCTCCTCCTGCAGCACTGAGGAGGAGTCGATAAATGCACGACGCACCTGGGAGAGGATGGAACAGGCGCCCCCGAGAGGGAAAAGGCCCCGGATCCCCCTTCCCCCACCCCTGAGCCACCCAGTCCCTGTCCTGGGGCTGCATTGGTGTCCATGACCCTGCAGGGAAAGGCCCCACAGCCTGGTCCTCAACCATTAGTAATCTCCCCGCCACTCTCCTTCTAATGCTGTGGAGCCTGCCCAGAGTCGCCGAGATCGGGGCCCCGTCAGGCCGGGCGCTGCCCAGACCCAGAGTCACCGAGATCAGCGGGGGGACAGAAGGAGGGACCCCGTCAGGCCAGGCGCTGCCCAGACCCAGAGTCGCCGAGATCGGGGCCCCGTCGCACCGGGCGCTGCCCAGACCCAGAGTCACCGAGATCGGGGCCCCGCCAGGCCAGGCGCTGCCCAGACCCAGAGTCACCGAGATCAGGGCCCCGCTGTGCCGGGCGCTGCCCAGATCCAGAGTCACCGAGATCAGGGCCCCGCCGGGCCGGGCGCTGCCCAGACCCAGAGTCACCGAGATGGGGGCCCTGTCGCGCCGGGTGCTGCCCAGATCCAGAATCGCCGAGATCAGGGCCCTGGCACTGCCCTGACCCAGAGTCGCCGAGATCAGGGCCCTGCTGGGCCGGGCACTGCCCAGACACAGAGTCACCGAGACTGGGGTACCATCGTGCCGGGCACTGCCCAGACCCAGAGTCACTGAGATCGGGGCCCCGTCAGGCCAGGCGCTGCCCAGACCCAGAGCCACCGAGATTGGGGCCCCATCACGCCGGGCGCTGCCCCCTGCTAGCCCAGTCCTGACGCCCCCACCCCAGCCCTGCCAGTGCCCCTCACTCCCGACCCACAGCCCCTTACTAGCCCAGCCCTGGGTTCCCCACCCCAGCCCTGCTGCTGCCCCTCACGCCTGATCTGCATCCCCCTGCTAGCCCAGCCCTGGGCTTCCTCTTGACCCACTGTCCCAGCCCTGGGCCCAAGGTCAGAGTCGGATTTCCCCGAGCTCAGCACTGCAGGCTCCGAAATGCTGAATGCTCGGTTCTTTCTCTCTCTGCCGGTGTCTGTTTCCAGGCCTTGTCCCCACCCCACTCTGCTCAGTCCCCTCGAGTGGCTGGCGTGGAATGGGGGGGTACGAGCAGGGGGGTGGCTGGGGGAGCTGCAACCCCCCCAACAGAAGCCTCCCCCACCATTCCCCGATAACCCAGAGAGAAAGCCCCCACTGCCTCCTATAGATCCCCCCTCCCCCAGAGACATTGCCCACCCCATCTCCTCCCTCATAGCATCCTTCCCCTCCTTGCCACAGTGGGAAGCCAGGTCTTTGTGGCCCCTCCAACCTTTGGCCTCTCTGCTGGAGGGAGGGGGATGTAGCCCAGTTTGGAAGGGCAGGGTGGGGATCTGAGAAGAGGGTGCCTGGGAACGAGCCTGAGAACCAGCAAACTCGTTACATGCATGAGCCACAGAATGAGAGGGGGGGGAAAGGCCGTGGGCCGCATTACCATCCCTGCCTGGAGGCCCTTTTAAATCCCTGCCCTGTGTTCCTGTCCCCCACCCCTCACCATTATATGCCCAAATTTCATTTCTAAGCCACAAATCTTTTAATCTCCTCCTTGATTCCTACCTTGCAGGCAGCTGCCAGTCCCTGGGGAGCTGGGGATTGGGCAGGGAACAAGCCACAGGAAACCAGATCCTCCCTTTGTCCAGATTTGGGGGGGGGGGGGGGAAGCCAAAGAGAACAAACCCCTACCCTACCCACCAGCCACAGAACCAGGTTAACTAGGCCTGACAGAACGGGGGCTTGCCAGGGACACTGCGAGGGGCGTGAGCTCTGGGGCAGTGGAACCAGCCCCCTATGGGTCCGAGGGATGTCCAGGGAGATCCCGGGGGCTGCGGCTCAGAGTGGAGCACAGAGGGGGCTGACAGGCAGTGGGCGGGGCCCAGAGCGGGATGGGGAGCCCAAGGATGTGGGGACAGGAGCAGGAAACATGATGTGGAGATGGGCCCCCCAACACCCGCTGCGCCAGGCAGTCACCCCAAAACCCAGGAGTCCTGGCTCATCTCCCCACACCAACCACTGGACCCCATGCCCCTCTCAGAGCCAGGGAGAGAACCCAGGAGTCCTGACTCACACACGCACACCCCCACCACTGGACCCCACACCCCTCCTAGAGACAAGAAGAGAACCCAGGAGTCCTAGCTCCCAGCACCCCGCTCCCCTCCCAGCACGACACGTCAGAAAGGAGCCAGAGGCACTGCGAGTTGGATAAATACCTTTTATACTGAACTGCGGCGCTCAGCCGGGCTCTTCACATCCGGACACAGAGCTGGGTGCTCAGAGCGGGGGCTGGGGGGGGGCGCACTTTTGGACCATGGGGGTGAAAGGCTCAGACCAGGGCTGGGCTGAATGAGGGAACGGGGGGGATGGGGGGCAGGTAGGGACCAAGAACAGACCCCCACCCCCCCCATGGATAGGAGTGGGCTCATCTCAGGACAACAGTTCCCCTCCCTCGGAATCCTCTGATCCTGCAGGAAGGGCTGGGATCCCGGACGCCTGGGTTCTCTCCCCAGCTTTGGGAGGGGAGTGGGCTCTGCTGAGTAGAGCAGGGGGCCCTGATTAACGGGCTGCTCCCTACGGCTCTAAGCACTAGACCCCATTCCCCTCCCAGAGCCAGGGAGAGAACCCAGGAGTCCTGGCTCCCAGCCCTACCCCCACCCCCAACCACTAGACCCCACTCCCCTTCAGGTGCTGGGCAGAGAACCCAGCAGTCCTGGTCCCACCATTCTCTTCACCTCTTCCGGGTGAACCTTTGCCCCACACCAAGCCTGAGGCTGGGAAGAGGGTGGGCCAGCCTGGGGATTGTCTGAGACTCCGATACCCTGGGCCCCAGCCCTGGACCATTGGGGGGGGGGCACAGATTGGGAAAGCTGCGGGGGATTGGCCTAGTGCATTACAGCTGTAAATATAGATGTGTAGATATATGTACTCCATGCACCAGAGAAGGGGGTCTATATGCTGCGGGGGGGCATGTTAAGGGGAGACTGAGGAAGCTGCAATTGTCCCCCCAACCTTCAAGCTCTCTCCCCGCCCCCAGGGTTATGTACAGGTTCAAAGCTATTTAGTGCAGGGGGCCCACTCCCCCGGCAGTCAGGGCCGGTCCCGAAGCCCCAGGGTGGTGCTAGGGGGCGCTGGGCTGCAGGGGGATCAGCAGGGGGCGCTCTTCCCGAGCAGGCAGGGCTGGCCCTGAAGCCCCAAGGCAGCACCAGGGGGCGCTGGGCTGCAGGGGGATCAGCAGGGGGCGCTCTTCCCGAGCAGGCAGGGCTGGCCCCGAAGCCCCAGGGTGGGGCTAGGGGGCGCTGGGCTGCAGGGAGCGGGGGCTCGATGGGGGCACTCTCCCCTTGCTGCTGGTGCCTTCTGAAATCCAGCCCGCGGTTGCGGTTGGGTGTGAGATTCTCTTTCGTTTCCTGTCCCAAACTTCTTTTGCAGATTTGCTGCATAGCCATTAAATAGGGGCGGGCGAGGGGTCCCCATACACCCAGCCCCTGCACCCAACCCCAGAGGCTGCATTTCTGTGCACACAACCCGGGCGGAGGGGGGCTCAGACCATATGGGGGGTAGATCGGGGGGAAGCACTCAGCTTGCGGGCAGGTTAAGCCATGGGGGAGCCGGTGGGTCAGACCATGGAGATGGGGGGAGGTGGGGGGCGCAGCGAGAGGTGCACGAAGTCAGGGTTGATGTAGGTGAAGCCCTGGAATTCGCTCTGGTCCAGCCCCGCCATGACCAGCTGGTCCGGGGGGGTCAGCGCGGGCACCGCCCGCGTGAAAAACTTGTCAAAGTTCTCGCCACTCCTCCCACACTGGGACGGACAGACGGAGATGGCCCGAGAGAGGCAGACGGACAGCGAGACAGATCCAGACAGGGACGGACAGACAGCAAGACAGATGATGGAGTGGGAGGGAGAGAAAGAAGAGCTGGGTTATTTCCTTTGGCCCCCACCCCTTCACTGTTCCCCCCACCCCAGCCCCACTCCCTCCGGCTCAAGACCCTAGTGACCCCACGCCTCCCCCCCACAGCACCACCTCCCTGTGGTCACATCGGGCTGGGGCAGAGCCACTCCCATGGGGTTCCCCTAATCGCATCAGAAGACACATGTTCTATTGGGACCCCCGATTCCCTGTAGGGCCCCCCACCGGCTCTGTGGGGGGGGTCACTCTCCAGGCAGGGGGTACATGGAGGATAATGGGCGGGTCACTAACTGGGTGGGGGGTGCAGGAAGCGGGATGGGAGGTCGTTCACCGGATGGGGGTGAAGGGCGGTTGGATAGGAGAGTCCACTCTCCAGGAAGGGGTTTGGAGAGCAAGGGCGGGGTCACTCTCCAGGCAGGGGTACATGGAGTGAGATGGGGGGGTCACTCACCGGATGGGGGGTGAAGGGCAGTGGGATGGGGGGGTCCACTCTCCAGGGGGGCATTTGGGGAGCAGGATGCAGAGGTCACTCACTGGGCAAGGGGTGCAGGGCGGTGGGATGGGGAGGTCACTCTCCAGGAGGTGGAACATGGAG